AGCAGCCAGCCTGGGAGGGAGCCTTCTAAAAACCACAAGCAAAACTCAGCAAAAGAGCTTCATACAGGAACACTCACAGAACAAAAAAAAACAAGCCCCCTTCCAAGTCCCTCTGAAACCCAGCATGGGAAATAGAAGGATTTGCCATCCCCTATAAGGAATTACCACAGGGCTAAACTCACCTGTGCGCAGAGAGGTGTGAAGTCCTTGAACCTGTGAACTGCTCAGCTTTCTCGGCCCAGCCCAGCTTACCTTAATGCCACGCGGATCCTCCAGCCTCGGAGGGGTGGGAAGGCACTTCAGTGGTTCCAGCCTGGTGGGGTTGGCCCCGCAGCCTGGACAACACAGATGCATTACAGAGCTCACCTCTGGAGTCCTGCTCGGCGTGGATTTGCATGGGATTTCGCACAGATCCACATTTTCTCTCTGTTTAAGGGCTAACTTCCTTCCTGCTGTTTTCTACTCAGAGATGAATGTGAGAGGGCCTTTATCAAAACACCCTCTAGGGAACATAACCACTCTGGATGTCAGTTTAGGGTCCCTCCTGCTGCAGAGCGATCATCAAGTCATTCAAGCCAAAGCGAGAAATAGGGCTGCAGAGTGCCTAAGTGCCTGGTTCCTCCCTCTGGCAGCTGCTCCCCTGAGGAGAGGAGACTTTGCGTTAGGAGCTAACTAACTTATTCACTAAAGACCCCTGAAGAGTTTAGGTTCAAATGTTTCTGGTGGTACCTAAGCAGCATCTGGAGTCTGAGCCCCCGCTGCCCTGCAACACGCAGTCCACAGCTCCCAGGGCGGTACTATCCCCGCCAGCTCCTGCTTTGCGAAGAGCTAAATGACTGCAGAAGTGACGGAGAAGAGGCTGCTGTACTTCAGGCTGGAAATCCTAAGGTTGCGAATGCGTGGAAAAGCACAGCATCTTCCTCTTCACAGCAACATGTTTTCATGGACGGATCAAATCTGCCCCTTCCCCTGACTCCTTTCTCCCCTTCGGCTGCAGCGCTCTCCATTGCAGTCCCCGCAGCCTTCGCATCGTTGAGCAACTCGCCAAGCTGTCCTTTGCCAGCACAGTGCAATTGCAGAAGCACAACTGATGGTCTCCTTGGTAAAGCAGCACACCCTGGGCGATGCGCTGGGGCAGATGCGCTTGTGGTGTCAAACCAAATTGCTTCGCAAAGGGCCGACATGTCGCAATCTTCCTTTCAACCTCCCGTCTGCTGCTGCGATACAATACCTACTCCAACTGTTCGCAATTAAAACATGACCAAAGATTTGACCGCTCTGAATGATACAGATTATCAGCAGCAACAACAAAAAAGGGAAGTGCACAGTTGTTTTCTTTTCAAAAGCTTTTAATAGGACACATTTGTTTTTGTCATTTGTAAAGATTTACACTCATTTTTTGTCTTTTTTTCTTTTTTTAAAAAGGAACATTTTAACCCAATTTTCCCCATCACTACCACCTTTTGTTGCCCTGACCAAAAGACCTCGTTTTGGCCTATATACCTGATACAGTATAACAATATATTAACTATTAAATACAAAGTTCTATAATATATACTAGGTTGTTACAGACATTGCAATGGTACTGTGCCTATTCTAGTCACCTTGTGTAATAGTGTACATGGGTTATTATAGCCAAAGGGGCAGAAAAGGGGAGACTGGGGCATAGCCTAATTTACAATGGTAACACTTTTGTTTTCTTTTTTTCCTTTTTTTTTTTCACCTTGAACACACCTTGTGCTGAGTGCAATCCACAGAAGTCAAAAACAGTGTTTTCGTTGCCCGCCTCCAAAATATCTACAGCATAAACGGCCTGTAACCGAGCTATGAAAAATCAGTTCTATGTGCGAGGGGCTGCAAGAATGGAATTTACATTTTTCCAGACATGTCTGCAATCTCTCTTTCCCCGTGTGTCAGACTGGCAATAGCAGAATACCCTCCTCCCACCGGTATACAGTAACTCCACAGTAGTAAAGTGCTGGTGTGCTTGAATGAACTGGATAGCCATGCGACTATTTTACCATCGACAGGGGCTGAGTTTTGGGGGTAGATGTCTTATATGGGTACAGTTCTCGAACAGTAATAGCACTGCAATATCGTAGAACTTGAGCTTAGCTGCTTACTTCTAAACGCGACCTGGATGCAGGCTCTGAAACTAGGCTCTACATGTTGCAATACAGTAGGTCTGGCTCCAGGTTTATGAAAAGAAACTTGTAGATAAGAGCTGCTTCTGTTCCCAAGATGCTACGCAGACTTTTAACAATTTCTCTATAGATTTCTACAAAAATATAAAAAATTCTATCAACATAACCATTCTACAGAATTCCTGTGGATTTTGTACATTTTGTTTAAAAAAAGTCAAATTCTATAAAACCCCCCCAAACGGTATTTAAAATTATCTTAAGATTATTGCACACACTGCAGTACATTTGTATTTGTTTTTCAAAAGGGCATCTAGAAAAAACTTATCCGGTTTAGAAAACAAACTATTTTACATGGATTTCTTTTCCTGAATGCATCATCATAGAGTATTTTTTTATTTGCTAGTCTTTACTGAATAGTTACGTATGATGTAAACTTTTTGTTACTTCCACAAACCTCGTCAGTGGGCAAAACCCCAAGTATTGGAAATAGAAGAGCCGTTAGGCTTTCTGTTACATTTGGAGCTGAGCATTGGATTACCATCACATCACCGTTTTGTGCCATGATTTCAAGCTAAAATGTTGCATGTTGTTTTTGTAAGGAAGGAACTGTATAAGTAGTATCATTCCAGCTATACAAACACACTCCTAATCATTAAGGAACCAGGGTTGGCAATTTTGGTGGCCTAGCTATTTTTCCAAATTATTTAGTACATGTGAAAGGCAAAGCTAAGGCTCATTACGAGTGTAAAACCAAAAAGGGATTAAGAATATTTCTCAGGCTTAATACACTGCAGTTTTATTATTTCCTTAAATATGATCGGGGGGAAGAACTGATGAAAGGTTTGTTTGAAATCATTGCTTTAAACGGGCTTAACTCTGGATTTGGACTGGCATATCAAAGAGAGCGGTCTCCGTATGGGCCCATGTTGAAGAGGGGAAAAATGTCCCAGGCAAGAATTAATCTAACTGCAGTAAATAGTACAGAATGTTAATCCTCCTACTTCAAATACACTGATTGGCTGACTTCCCACTGAAAGCCTTTATATTTCTGCAGGACATGTAAATCAATAGGGATTGTTTATAGAGTAAACGTCCTCAAGTGAAAATAAAGGAGCTTAAGACCTCACATGGGCTGTTAGGTATGAACAGCATTTTCTTGTACACATACTTGAAGCTAATGCAGATACATGTAGTCGTAACAGTCTAATCTCTGAATGGGTAAAAGGCTGTACATCAACATGTTGTAGTGATTTGAAAAGATCAGTAGTTCTCAAAAAGTTACAAACTCCCGACTTGACAGAATTAGCACAAATCCTCCTCTTACTTGCGCTGGTTTAAAGACATGATCCAGCAAAGCCTTATCCATGCACGCAGTTTTAAACCTGTGACTATTCCCACACTTCAAACCATGCCTGCAGAGTCTTATTTAGCCTACATCTTAATGTGATTTCATGGAAGTTGAGTGAAGTTAATGCCTGGTTTCCACCAGTTGTGTGAAGAGTGGGAGGTGTCGAACCAGGCCAACCTCTCTTGATTTTCAGGCTGTGCTGTCCAGTTTTACAGATTGCTTTTTGCAGAGGGCGTTAGCACAGAAGCAAACAGTTAATTTCTGAGATGACTGACATTAAGGACATGTTATAAAGTAAGGACATGAATTCCATTTTTATCTACTTTTTATCACGATGTTGCTGCTTAAGGCTTTTGATAGATTGGAAATAAAATTACAGTCAGGGTCATGTAAATTAACTCTAGCAGTGACAGCAAAAAACCTGACTTTCTAAACTTAAAATCAACAATCATTTCAGTACCTACAGACTTTCTTACATGTATTCTGTAAAATAACTTGCAGTAGGCCTTGATTCTGTTGAACACATAAGCATATGATTTTAATTATCAAGAATTACTTAAATACGATCAACCTCAAGGCAGTTTAAGCAAGAGCTTAACTTTAAACATGTGCTTAAGCCCACTGCTGTGTCATGACTGCACTGAATTCACCCACTGCAAATCTTAAACACAGCCTTGCTCTCCTTTTTGCACGGTGCAGAAAGGAGGAGCTCCACTGCCGACAGTGGGCTGACAGAGGTGTAAAACTCAGCAAAAGAAACAGTCTGTCTCGAAGACACTGGAAAAACATCTCAGAAGTGACCACAGGCTTTTCTTGCCTCAGTTTCCTAGGCACGTATGAAAATTATCCACTGACATGATTTTGTGAGTCACCAGTGGATGATCTATAATACCCTTTCGTAATTCAGTATTGTGTACCGTTAAATAGCTCTACATTCACCATCTTCAGACATCTATCATCATGTTGTACCTTCCTGGGTTTGTACACCTGCTTTTACTCTGGATGTCGATTTTATGCAAGATTGGAATATTATTTTGTTAACAAACTGCCACTGCATTTCCATACTACCCAAACAATCTTTTTCCCAGAATATCATTGAAGTCCAAGGGGAAAAATAAATTACATTAAATAATCCTTATTTACTGCTGACTGTGGGATACATTTCCTCTGTAATGCACTAATTGGCTACATTTTGTGCTTTGCAAAACAAAATGAAACCCAAACAAAACAAAACAAAAAAAAGAGAAGGGATTAAACAATACTAGATTCAATTAATTTAATAAAATATAATATACATATAGATTCTGCACATTGTATTGCTTTTACCTAAGCAGAACATATGCTTAAGTAAGCGTGATATAGGTTAACCACTCTTTTAACCAGCTGGTTCTTTAATCTTTCTTTGGAAATTTTTTACCCAGTGCCGTTTTGGAATACAGAGTTTTTTAATTTTTTTTTTTCCTATTACATGAAAGGAAGAAAACATTTGGCACCAACAGAAAAGTAACTCAGGGGTCCATTTCCGTTTGATCAAAGGAAAAGCTAGGAAGTGTCAACAAGTCTTTCTTTGGGGTAGGAGATGTTGACATACTGTCTGGAAGCAACGAATCCCCTATATCCATCGAATCCTTGGACTCACAAGATGGAGCACGCCGTCGCAAGCAAATGTCTCCACTGGCAGGTGAGATGCTGTGAGGTCCTCTAGGTAGTAAACTCTGTCCATCAGGTGGATCTATAGATATACATGGAGGGCTCAGTTTTTTCTTCTGCCGTGTTCCTTGCAAGCCTTCCATTTCACTTACCACCTGACTTATGAAGCCAGAAGAGCTAGATGTGGAATGGTGCTGAGGACTGTTTTCCATTGAACAAATTTCTATTGAATGTCTCCTTTGATCATCTAACCAAGAGGGCGGTTTTTTTAGAAGACCCTGGGTGTCTACACTGTGGTATTTCTTCAGGTCCTTCAATGTAACATTGCCAGTATTGCCTATGTTCCTCTTAGGAGTGAGAGGCTGAACCTCTGAACAGGCACTCGAGGCTGTACAAGTTTCTGAAGTGAAAGGCTCCGAGGAGCTGTTTATTTCAGATACTTCTTGGTCCACTGAATCTCCAGGTGTCTCCTGATAGGAGTCTGCACAAGCACACGATGCTGGTGCCTGCTTTGAAATATTATACTGATTGTGGGAAAGCTGCTGCGTATGAACGCTTGCCCGGCTCCATGCAGCCAACTCTTGCGCTTCTGAGGGCGTCAGAGCCACTGAAGTCTCCTCCTTGGGCACAGCGGGGACATTTGGGTCAGAGAGTTCACTCACCTCGGTGTGGAGATTCTCCTTGCTATCCAAAGAGTCGTTCCTTATAGCCATCTGTATCGGAGCGCAAAGGGATCGGGGAGGAGGGGAGTTGCCAGATGAGAGAGACAGACCAAACAAAGGTTAGTACAAGCAAGGCACAGCATTTACAGGGCACTCAACTCTGCTGAGATACCTCAGCAGAGACCCACTGACTCCTATAACAACCTGTGTTGTGGGTTCTAGCAACTTCCATGCTTCAGACATCTGTGGTTTGGCCCTGTGTAAGTGACAGCAGAATTTGGCCCTTCATTCTTCGTAAATGGTTGACCTTTAGCTTTCTCCTCTAAGGATGGAGGGCTGCAAAAACAGAATGCCCCCACCCAAACTTAGACATATTCTTGTTATGCAAAGGATGAGGGTCTACAGCAAAGCCCTTTATAATTTTAGCAGCCCAGGTACGAGCGGGAGAGGGAAGATGTGCAAGTGAGCCTGTGTATTCCCTTCTCTAGCTCAGGTGATGCTGAGGGCATGAAGCAGGATCCCCAGAGCCAGTGATGCCAGAGCAACCACGCTCTGCACCAGCATCCAGGCAACAGCCTGTCCTTGGCTTTGGTCCCCAGGCTGGAGCCGCGACTGCACCATCTTATGGCAGGGGAGCTGAGCGGGAGAGGGAAGATGTGCAAGTGAGCCTGTGTATTCCCTTCTCTAGCTCAGGTGATGCTGAGGGCATGAAGCAGGATCCCCAGAGCCAGTGATGCCAGAGCAACCACGCTCTGCACCAGCATCCAGGCAACAGCCTGTCCTTGGCTTTGGTCCCCAGGCTGGAGCCGCGACTGCACCATCTTATGGCAGGGGAGCTGGGAAAGCTGGAGTCCAAAGCTGGACTAATAATAATAATAATAATCTGTAATTATTTCAACTTACTCTGATGCTTGAGTTCAGGCTTCCTAGGCAACATTTTGCCTTGGCTGTCTTGAGCCGTATGCAGCATCAGTGCCGGCTGGCAGAGAACCTATGGCATGTTTTGAAGGCTTTGTTTTTTTCACTGCACTGCATCCCCTTGTCAAAAGGGTTTATAAATCAGCCACATTAACTGGCCCTTAAAGGCAGAGTCTCAGTTTGAGAAGACTCTTAAATGATCTTAAAGATTAAAAACTTTACAGAGAAATTTGGAGGAAATGCGTACAGCTGGTCTCAGTCCTTTAGAGAAGTGTAAGGAGATGAAATTCCTCATACTAAGGAATGCTTTTGTGACAAATCACCCCAAAAGGATCTTAGAATTTATATAAAAATTGTCCCACAAGGATCGTTTGAGCCAAATGATCTGTATTCAGGCAATGCTCTCATCAGCTGCAGTATGCACATGTGTGCGCGCAGAAACATGAGAGTCTATTGCTACATCTGCACATTGGGCTCCCTTTGTCGTCTGTGAGAGTTGAGAGAATACTTAATACGGCAAACAATTTTGTCCAATGCTGGTGAATCCTTTCTAGTTAAAATTTTACAGCATAATACTGGCAACTAACCACAGTCAAGAGTGGAGCTAATTCTGGTCTCCTCAATGCCAATAGTTTTAGTGAGTGTTTGGGAGAAGAAATCATGTTCATATCCTGAGAAGAGACACAGACCACAAAAAAGTATAATACAGAAGCAAAAAGTAATTATTGTCATTACTTTTGCTTGTACACCAACCTGTGTTGCATACAACGACAGTATTAGTCACCACCAGCTCTTTCTTTCCCTATGATACAGGCATCTTTGGTAGTTGTTAGCAGTAACTGTTTGTACAAATGTTTTACTGGTTTGTTTCAAAATAAAAGGACCCTCTGCCATCCCATTGGGGTGTACACCTGTAGTAGCCACAGCTTGGTGTGGGCTACACCTTGGATACACAGTCCTGGAACCAGAAAATCAATATATTTTTCATTTCAGGTAGAATTCCCCTGAAGAAAAGCTTTTGTGCGATGCACTGCCAAGGAGCGTATTCCTCAGCAGGGAATGTTCTCTCAAAGCATCCGATCCACTCATCTTCATCTGCGAGTGCATCGCTAATTGTCACACTTTCCAGAGTCTAAACTGCACGTTACTGTGGGGACTGTGTTCACTCTCCAGCACTCTGGAGGGAAAGGGAGGTTAAACACACAGGTTTTAATGATGGAGGAAAGTGCACGGACCAGGTATGTGGTGGACAAGATTTATCTATACACAAATTTAGGAAAGGAGAGGGGACAAGGGGGAAGGGAAAGGAAAGAAAGAAAAGAAAACAAGTCAGAATTACATGCAATATATGTAACAGTAAGGAAAAATGGGTACTGCAAACCAAAATGCTTTGCTAGTTTGGGCTATTGTGATGTGCTAGTAACAAATTAGTAGTGGCAATAAAAGGCGCCAAGCAGAGAGCACTTGAGCAAGCAGAAATGCCGGGGGTGTAAAGGGAATTTTGCCTCTTTAAGGACTAAGTTTCACAGTGTCTGGCCATCTAGATTGCAATTAACAGCAACAGCAATGCTGCCCTGTTGCCAGAACAACCTTACTGCTCCCATTAGCCACATTGGGAGCTCCTTGCTACTCGGGAGCATGCCCAAGGCAACACCTCACTAACCTTCGGAGGGATCTGTCCGGCTCGTGGACCATATCTGCTCACTGTCCCAAAGCTCTTTTCTCTCTGAAATGTCACTCCAAGAGCATGCTCATGTCACCGCATGAGCAGAGAGAGGAGCGAGGGGAATAAATTAAACATACGAAAAGGTTTAGAAAAAGAAGCCTTCAAAGGTATGAACAAAATTAGGCTGAGGAAGATGGCTAACATGGTAATTTATTCTAGATAGATCAGTTCAAAAGGATGGGTCTGTTATTCATTAGAAAGCAAGAGAGAGTGGTTATGAACTGGAATCATGACATCAATTAGTTTCCCCATTAGCAGTGATTGGGGTAGCTGGCCAGCCCTGTGCAAACGAATACATGCTAGGAATTTCTTATGTCAATTTAGTCTTACCGACTAATGTAATTGTTAACCTTGGTACTTCACATTCATTTTTAGAGCTTAATGAATCAACTGTCTAATTTGTCAATGTTGATTAAAAGATGAAAGAAATGGGAATATTTTCATGCAGGAGAGAAATTGCTTTTGAAAAAATAGAACTGATCTATTTTGTGTATATAAAATCAGGCGTGAAAACACTGAAGAAAGCAGAGTTTGGGAATCAGACATGCCTCTGGTCCTGGTCCAGCTGCACAATGAAATATGCTTAAAAATGTGAGAGTGAAGCACAAGTTTAAGTATTTTACTAAAAAAGATAAATTTAAACTTATGCTTCCAATCAACCAGACTGGAATCTTTGATTAGATCTCTTAGGTCTTTGGTTGAATCAGGATTTAAATCAACGCCAGGCAAAAACCAGAGATAAAACCAGTTGCAAAATATAATGTGTTCTGTTTTGCGTATACTCAAACATTTCAAAAGCACACAGGAGATTCAACAGGATCTTAATTTTCAATTCTCACTGTAAAAACAGTATGCTTTCCATGATGGTTTTGCATACGAGATATCCAGCTTCCTTTGAACAGTTTTCCCCTTTCGAGAAACCAGAGGAGCCAGAGGAAGGGTGGCCTGGGATGGATTCTGCAGTCCTGTGTCCCTTCAAGCACTGAGAAAATCACAGCAGTTAAGAATTAGTTCCTTAACCCCAATGAGCCCCTAGGGAGCATTTGGCTGCATTTATGAAGAGGACTGAAAAAAATAAAGTGCTAACAATGTGGAGAACATTTAGGCATGTTGCCAAAGGAGATGATACTCATCATGCACGTTCTTTGGAGGCTCCTGGATGGCTTTCAGATCAAAATCCATCAACCTTTTTGTTATTTCTGTAGGAGAACTACAGTTCTCCGGAGGTTTCTCTGTGAATCCCTCCTTGAATTTAAAGCATGGTTAACCTGGAAACACGACAATATAAAACCTCAGCAGGTTCACGATCATAAGTCTGCTTACCTGTCTGCGGAGCAGCCTTTCAGCAGAAGGAGAGTGCACCTGCTGGGAAACCTGGGGTTTGCTGTCCCTCACCAAATGGTCATGAGCTCTTACGTGGTGAAAATGGTCTTTTGGAATTTGCAGGAGAGAGCTCGTGTCCGCCGGCTGCGACTGCACCGACGCCTTTGAACCTTGCAAGAGGGAGAAGAGACAGAAATGTGACATGTTCATCTGGGGATTGCATCCCAATCTCAATGACCTTTCAGGGAAAACTGCTCCGTTGCACCTTGGACCAGACAGGCATGGCAAACCCACTGCATTCAGCAACTGGCTGTCCATGATCGGGAAAAAACTCCCACCTACTAACAAATTATTCCAAAATTGTCTATTATTTCATTTTTCTTGGCATTTTCCCCTGATACGACTGGGACCAGCTCCTGTTAAGAACAGAAGATGATGAACTAGAAGTTCATCTGGACTGGCAATTTCTACATCCTTGCCTTAGGGCCAATAACTTTGCAGGCAACCACACATCTTAGCACCACAAGGATCTGACTTAGAAAAGGATGTCTCCGTACCTCAGCGTATGCGGAGACCGACTGCTGGGATCTCAAAACTGCACGCTGGAAATGAAGTGAAAGGGAACGGCACCTGGCAGCTTTCAAGGCTAGTTTTACAAAGCGTCCCAGGAGAAGGAAATACATACTCTCCAGCCTCTTTCTGACCCTTTGTGGTTGCTGGCTACTTCTTCTAAAAGGTTTGAAACTCTGCATGTTCCCCCCCCCACCAGGCTCAACATTTTTCAAAACAATTCATTTAACCTGGACCGCATCCCAGAGAATCTCATTTGTCCTGGAATCTTTCCCAGAACAACAGCCCCATTACGAAGGAGTATTCAAACAAATACCTCCTGCAAGTGCCAGTGTTTCTGACAACAAAACCTTTCTCAGCTTGAAATATTATGGCTTAGTTGTGGTGATTTATTAGAGGCGCCTGACACCTTTTGCTATCTTCACAGCACTTTATAATATTACAAACTGTAAACAGGTAGGGGCGACTTCCCCCACCCTGAAAAGCAGTGACATTGTAGGTGGAACAGGACAATGATGCATATGCCAAGATCTGGGCACCTTACCCACCTCTGAGCACTTTGGCTCGCTTAAGACAATTGGAATTTCACCAGCAGGAGAAAAACACAAAAGGTTTAATTGTTTAATGTGGTTATGAATAAGACATCAGCTTTACCTTCCCAAAATACTTCTCCTACCTCTCAGTGGAACAGTTTTTCCTGCGGATTTACAAGGGTGCAATGCCTGCCCCTGCCCAAGCCAGGGCTGTCAGATGGGGCTATTCAGTTCTCCAAGCTGGAAGTGCAATCTTGAAGAAAGAAGGGACTCAGAAATTACCCACATTTTGGTCAAGTTGATGTGTTTTTTGTTCAAGACAAGGCAAATGCATCCGAATTAAGGGTCAAAAATGCAGCACTGGAAACTCCCTCTGTAGCAAATGGGATTCTTTCGTATGGTCAGGGATTATAACTCCAAGGAATTTCTTGGCTGTTAGAGAGAGCCATAAATTCTGGCTCCACTGAAGGTAATGGGAGTTTTGGTATTGACTTCAGTGGGATTTGACCAGGATTTTAGCTGCACCTTTTGCATTATGTGCAAACAGGTTCTTCAAAGGACAGCTCTTGACCTTGAAAATTTTCTATTATGGCAGTGATTTCTCACAACTCCAGATTCATCTTCCTCCGTTGTGTCCGCATTTTTTTTTTCTGCTGTTCAACAGTCACTATTCATCCAAATTCTTATTACTATGCAAATTTCAACATCTTATTTCTAATCTGTTCAAATCTCCTACCATTCTGAACGGTGCTGAAATTATGTTCTACTTAGAGGCTTTCAAATGACAATGCTTGTAAAAACTTCTCTGTCTTATCTGTGACAAATGTCTAAAATGATGGCACGTACAGAAGAATTAAAGACAGCTACATTCACTTACCAGCAGAAGGTAACCCCTAGCAGACAGAGTAAATGAAAGCACATTGATAAGCACCGGGAGGCAGCTGCAAGTACAGGTAGAGAGGTGCGGATAGAGAGAGAGCCCTTGGTATCTGCAATACGCTGTACCTAAGAATATCTCTGAATTTAGCTCTAAGGCGTATATCCCAACCACGCACACTGGGAAGGAAAATTCTGCACTCTCTCATTTTTCCATTCATCTCACATTAGGATCTCTCTCAATTCAGCATGTTTATGTTCATTTTACAAGCATTTAAAGACACCATTTTCCCATCTTTCACAAGTGTTCCCATACAGAGCTTCCAAAACCTGCTAGAATAGGTACTGCTGCAAAAAAACAGACATGAGGAAGTATTTTTCTGCTGGGATTTTTGCTCTGGGGCCATAGCTAGCTCAGGTGAGACGGATGGAGCCCAGGCTGTACGGACTGTAACCTTCGGGGAACCAGGCAGGGAGACAATCAGTGTTGAGCCAGGCCAACTGCTCACCGTCACATTGCCAAAAAGTTCAGAGGAAAGGACTTATCTTTAACTGCCTGGGCTCTGTAAGTTGTGGAGGGTCTTTGCAAAGCCATTCCACGGGTCTGGACACCAACACTTCACTGGAAACCAATGGCAATCTCCTGCCTCCTACTGAATAGCTTGGAAAATCCCAGCTATTGCTATATTGGAAAATCCTGCTCTTGTCCCAGCTGACAGATGTGTACCTGACTGGGACTTGTGATGTGCCGGATTCCTCTCGCCCAGGGAGGCAGGGCAGGGGCTGGAGTACGGCGGCTGGAACATGTAGCTGTCATTTGGCAAAGAGTGGGTGCGCCCCACCGAAGGCTTTCTCACGCTCAGCAAGTCCTTGCTGGGAGACAGGGTCAGTGTGTCGTCTTTGGAGCGGAGATCCGCCTACGGGGAAGAAAAACAGTGAGGAAGGAAAACATCACGGGGCGGGAAGAGGAGAAGTGCCCAGAAACGCTAGCGACAGCCATTGCAATCAGTATGGCACGATGGGCATGCACATCGTCAGTATGTACAAGTTGCACGAATGGATCTACCAGGAGGCTATACCCCTCATTTTGTATTGTCAATAAATTGTCACACAGAATGAACCACAGAAACAGAGGAAGCAACACTGTAGTAATAAACCATGACTATTTCAGGGATATGCAAAGAAGGCATCATGCCTCAAGGCCGACAAAGGTCACATGCTTTGCATAACTTTGATCCTCTGCAATAACAGTAAAGCTCTCTCTATGTGCCCTCACCAGCAACTCAGACTTTTGCAAAGGTGAGTAGTTTCTTCTTCTAACAATAAAAAAAAAAAAAACAAACAAAAACTAGTTTACAGAAAATATTCTATATTCTGGCTCCCAGCACAATTTTATTGTTTTTTCTTTTTACGTAATGAATAACTAAACCCATTTTATTGAAAGGGATATCTAAACCTACTGCTTCAGGGTTAAAGCCATTCTCTAATTAGAGGGGATCTAATGCAAGCGAGGGTTATTGTATATGTGCCGACTGTGGAGATTTTGCAGCCAAAGAGTCTCTTGGAATGGGCAGCACCAGAGGCAATATCAAATGAGGTGGATTCAGGTCTGATTTCACAAGGAAATATCTCCATCCCAGAAATGTTCTTGGGTGTTACTATGTTGGACAGTATTAGCAAAAATGGAAGCAAAGTCAACTTCCCTGGATATTTCTAATGAAAGAATTATTTCATCTTTAAAAGGTCTCCATTGAAAAACACAGAAATAAGATGTGACACTGTAGTCTGATACAGTATATTGCTGATCATTTTTGGAAAACTTTAAATCTTATTTTCTGACAAATCTCCCCCTCACTCGGTGCATTACAGGTTTTCTGAAATCAACACGGGTTTTTTTCCCAATTTTAGCCTTCAGTCATTAAAAAAAAAATTCACTATGGCATTTCATTTGCACAAGAAACATGATGAGACTGAAAGGAATTTACAAAAAGAAAAAAAAAGGAGGAAAAAAGAAGAAAAGGAAAAAAAAAAAGGAGGAAAAAAGAAGAAAAGGAAAGGAAAAGAAAGGAAGACCACTGTTGTAAATTTAATGAAGGAAACGGATCTGCATTCTCATGCAGCATTAGTTGCAGTCCTCAGGAACCTGCCAATTTGGATATAGCCTGGATATAGCCCAGATAAGAGAGACTGCAGTCTCCTGATATAGCTCAGGGAAGGAGAGTGAAACCTGTGCTGGTAAAGCTGAGACTTTGGGTTTTGGGAACCTCTCTGTTCCTCCCCTCCCTGCCTTCCCCTTCCGAGCAGTATGTTTATGCTATTTAGGTTTCATATTATTTAGCTAAGCAAAAAAGATGGCCTGAAACCTGAGATTTCAAATTCAAAACCATTTGGATCTGAACATGAGAATTTGGATTCAACATCCTACCCAAACCAACCTTTAATGAACCTTTAGGTTCATTGACAGGATCCAATACCACAGTGGGCTCGCTTCCACTTTCTGGTCATCTCGGGCGAAATCTTGTGAGTGAACTTCATGAAAACCATTTAAAATGGCTGCAAAATGATCTTCCGAGTCCAGCTCACAAACAGAGCAGCAGGAGCACATGACTTTTTGGTTCACTGGTAGTTTTGAAAAACATGTTGTTTTGGCTTGACTGAAAATCAAATCTGAGTTTTCCGTGAACCAAACCAAAATCCCAACCCAAATCTATTTTGAGTCAAACAAAACATTCTGAGATATTTTTCAGCTAAAGCTGTGTCTAAATGAAGTATAAAAATACTGCATTTAGAAAAGATTTCAATGAAAGCTTGCAGTTTTTCAGGAGTTGGGAAATTGTTTTGACCAAAACACTTTGTTGGTATTGACACAAATTCACAAAACGCTTTGTTCAACCTGGTTTTGCTTTTTTTTTTTTTGAGAAAAACCGTCTCTCTTGGCTATACCCTTGAGACTTTGCTATGCTGTCAAACAGGTTTGTCTAATCTGATTCAAAACTAGAAGAGCTCTCTCCTCAGTCCAGCTCTCCAGACTAACTAATTTTGAAACAAAATGTCCCATACAAAATGTTAAACGTAGTTTACAAAATCTTTTGCACGTGATGCCATGAAGCATGATGGGAAATATTGTCACGGTTTAAGAGATGTTTCCCAAATAAGTGCTAATTAGGATGACAATTGACCAGAATGGCAGAAAATTTATCAACAACACAAACATCCAAAGGCAGGTACATGAACAGCAACAAAGAAAACAAGAATGATCCAAAAATGTTGGAAGAGGAGTTATGTCTGTTGTACAGCAGAAATAAAGCACTTGACCGCTACACAGCTAAAAATGTCTAATGTTTCAAAGAGGAGATGGTTAAGGCAGGGTTCAAAATACTGGTTATTTCATTCAAAAAGACACGAAATAGTCCAAACTATTTTTTCGCCCCCAGCAGGATGACTGCTAGTAAGAATCCACAAAACAAGCAGCATCTTGGAGAGATCCCCATCTGATATTTGTAAAATAAACAGTCTGGCACCAATCATGCAAAAAGCCTTGTGGTGCCTGCGTTCATAAAGACAAAAATCCATTACAAACCAAAGGGTTGTAGATGACCCCTCAGCAGAGGACACATGAGTCATTAGCTCATGGGTGTCTCTTCCACGCAGCATCACTGATGTGTTTCAGATGGGGAGGAAATTTCAACCTTGACACTTTCCAAAGCATTTTTTTACTATTTATTTTACTTGTAGAAAACACATTGTTTTTACATAAGACGCCAAAGGAAAAATAGAAAGAAATACTTGTTCCTCGCAAGGAGCCAAGTTCGTGGACGAGAGTGATACAAACCAGGACCTAATGGCATTAAGGACAATGTCCTGTTCAGGGGAAAGGTTGGTGCTATTTGGAAATGGGCTTGAACTGAAAATGCCATTAGGCAGGTGCAGAGAGGTGGAAGCAGTATTTTGAACCCTGTAAACATCAGACTATACAGCGACCAGTGTATGTACATTGCTTTCCAGAGCATTAAGTAAGTGTGTGTTAGTATCATCAGGAAAAGAGTCATCCGTCAGAGCTAAGGACCAGGACTTTTCAGAGAGAATATCTGACGTCAGAGACAGAGCCTCCATCTCAGCTAGAGGGATCTAAAGGGAGAGATGATTAAGCATAAGAAACCAGGACACAAATCTTTAGGAAAAGAAAAAAAAAATTATCATAATCTAAATACTTCTAGACACTAAAGCAATATCCCTGCAGTGGGAGATGCTACATCATGCACATTGTTACCAGGGACAGAACGTTAAAGAAACGAAATATAACAAAGAAATGGAAAAAAAAGAGCGGGACGTTCATACTTAAATGCTTACCAGTGAGCTGGGAGGGAGTTTAAAACCATACACTAATGCTAGCATTGTATTTTGTTGTTCTCCTGTCTAGATGAAGAAGCAAAACTAACATTACTTTCATACTAAAGATATTTATCCCCTTGGCCATGATCAAATACAAGAGGCTTCAAGATCTTCTGACTTCTCTGAAGTTGTTCCTACCCAATACCATGCCGTTTTCTTGGCCTCTAAACTAAGCTGGTTGAGGCCCCGAAGATTCCCCAACACCAAAATCATTTCACAGGTGGGGCATGGAGCGTGCCTTTCCCTGCGCTCTGGGGAGGGTACGGGGACCTCCCCCTCTCCGAGAGGCAGGTGGGACTATAATGAACTTCCTAATGGCTAAAGGGGGACAGGGAGAACCTTAAGGCTTGATTCAAAGTCTGGAAAGGTCAGTGAGTGCCTTGCTGGTGACTTCAGTAGGTTTTGGCCTGCTAAAGAGCCTCCAGTGCCTGGGTAAGCACCAATAACTCTCCTACTAAAAGAACCGCCTGCGTTTTCCAGCCCCCAAATGCCACCCCAGCCCTGGCCCCCAACAGCCTGCTCCGGCTCTGAGCAAACCCGAGCTGGGAATAGGTGCTGCACTGCCACACCGACGCTGTACCGATGCGTCTTGCACAAACGCATCCCCGCTGAAGGCATTCAAGTAATCGGTAAAGATCTTTATCAAAATATTGAAGCTCTCTCCCTAGACACAGAGCTCTTTTTATAAGAAATGTGAAACATCACTTCAGGTCTTGGAGAAAAAGGGGACTGCAGCGTCTCCCCCAGAGCAGCACCCCTGCTGCCAGGCACCGCAAGGAGGGATGCTTGCCCTGAAGTGCGGGCTCGGCCCTCCCCAAACCCCCACCTCGGGTACGTGTCTGAGGCTGGTGCCCGCGGCAGTGGGAGAGCGGCACTGGGGACAGCATTTCACCGGGTAACCTACAGACTTGGCTCACGCTTGCAGGGGCCTCCTGGTCTGGACTAGTCCCAGGTGCTTCCTTTTCATTTCTTACTGTGCTTTTTTTTTTCCTACCCTCTATGCTTGAAAAGTCTTTCAACAGCAATATATCTTCCAAGGGAAACCACAGAGGCCCAGATCTGTTGCACTTAAGTTGTCAGAGGGCTGGATTTTCTCACTCTTAGAAATGGCATCAGTGGTGTGAAATAAACCCAGTGATGAGTGAACCTTGAGAGGCTCAAAACTTCAGCTGAGATAAGGAAGAGGGTCAGGATCCTCTCATCTAACCTTGAGTTTGATATCTCCTCTAACACAGTCGTCCGCTGGCAATGGATGAGAGGGACGCTTTGGAGGAGCTCCTGATTTCATACGAGGCTCCCCAAAAAAGCATCGCTGTGAAGGTTGCCAACACAAGGATGGTGATCCCTAGTGGGGACAGATCCAACCCACCGACCGGAGCCCAAGCACATGGGGAAAGGCTGTGCTAGAGCACGGTGGACACCAGCAGCTCCTGCCTGACGGAGCTGCTCCGCTGGGAGCTGCTATTAATCAGGTTGCTTTCAGCAAGTCCCAGCGCTGCTCTAAATTCCTGACTTGCCTGAGAACATGACAAATAGTGTGAACAGAAAAGCCAAAATGTAAACAAAACATCACCCCCTCTTCAGCCTCCCCTCTCCCAAAATTGAGTTTGAAGCCGTCAAAACATTTTGTTGGAAACATTCAACTGATTTATACGGGTTTTAATTACGGGGGAAAAAAATAAAATAGCTTAAATTTTAAAACAAAAAGCTGTTGCAAACTGGAATGCTATATTTTTTCATTACAAAAATGTCAAAACAAAAGCATTTTTTTGCTGCAGCAGCACTTTCTGGTGAAACATGTTGTGACAAAAAATTTCCAAGCAGCTCTCGCTGAGATTCATACTGACCCTCTGCCTTCCCCGCCAAAGCTACCGTCCCTATTCCTCCGGCAATTCTTAGAGGCAACCACTTCCTATAGCTTAATAGACCTCAGTCTGGAAAGCGATACACAGCAATCAGAGGGAGACATGTTATCCCGCTATATAAAGATCTGCAGTAGGATTTCATTTTACCTAAGCTTGTTCCTTGCCTCTAATGAACCACTGAGTTGGATAATTTAGAGTGTCAGTGAGCTCATAAATAAGCACACTGATTTAACAAGAAAACTTCTGCTATTTTTAGCCAGAAAGGAAAAAAAAGATAGATCAAGAAATATGGAATTTGCTCAATTCCAACTGCAGGAAAAAATAGGTATGCTTGAATTATTATTATGGTCACTGCTGTGATTTAGGGAAAATATTTGCTCTAAAGAATAACACGCTTGAGAAAGTAGGTATTTTATTCTAAGAAGTAAATGAACTAATTTTAAACAAGTGTTACAGCCTCTGTTCAAGAAAGCACTGGAGCACACAATTACTTAAGTACATCATTAAGAGCTGCCTTGCCTTCTAAATTCAGTTTAGATCAGAGATGAGGATCTAGTTTACAATGACCCACTTGCAAGAAGCCTCTTTAGGAAAATCATTCAAAACTGGATTTTCATGCAGTGTAAGTAGGCACAAAATGTAGAGATCATTTTATGATCCCCAGCAGCCCAGGCTCTGCTCTGGGAAAACCTCACACCGTACTCCAGGCTCTGCAGACGTGTCCTGACATTGCTACGGAGCCCTGGTTAGGAGCAAGAAGCCAAACACAAGAACCCCACTGAAGGATGAAGATGGGATTTTGTACATTTTTCCTTACAACACTCGTGAACAGTAAATCCCAATGAAAAACTTCTTACTGTGTTGAAGAGGGAAACTCAGAGCCTGTACTTTTCCTCTTGCATTTATATACAATACCATAAACCAAAATATTATCTCAACTCCCACAGAAAAAGCCAAAATGACTTATGCTTCAAAATCCCTGTGAGTGCATTACATAAAATAAAGAACTTTAACTCTTTATTAAAGGTCTCAGTCAAATCAAGTTTGGATGGAGACTTTGCAGGAAATTAGGAATATTAACCTGGTTCTCAGAGTTGTAATATTCGGGAGCTGGGAGGGCATAATGATGGCACACAGAGCCTGACAGGTTGTCCATCAGCTTCAGCTCTCCTTCCAGAGATTCCTGGATCAGCAGTGATATGGTATCAAACAAGTGCCTTTCCTAGGAGGGGTGGTGTATAGCATGCAGAAAGAGAGCAAGCCGAAAAGAGAGAGGAAAAAAGCGAGGGACAGACAGAGAGAAAAAAGGACAGTGTATAAAACCCAACAAACAAAAGGGAGAAAAAAACACCAGAATAGAAGGCAGGGCGGGGGGGAAGACGGAAACGTTCAGGGAGAACAGCAGTAACAGAAACAAGGGGACAGGAGAGGTGAGGCAGGAGAGGAGAGAGAACAGTGCAGTAATATCACGGTGAGCAGTGACAGCTTTCTCAGACATTGCTAGAGACGGGGCCGACGCCGGCTGCCCCGGGATCGTGGCTGCTCCCACTCAGGGCCCTCCTCGGGGACAATTCTCGCTCTCAGCAAACACAACCGGTTGCTCCTGGGATCTGAGCTGTATAATGGGGCCGGTATAACAGCATCTTGATACTTGGTGGTGTGAACTTCTACAGGACACTACTGCTGTAAGGTTTCTATACCCACTGTCCACATTTTTGAGCAAGACCTAATATTTGACACCTAAATCCATATCCAGGGGTCACATAAATTAAAATAACCTGACTTGAAGAGAAGCTGAGCATCACAGGATGCTTTTATGGACAGCCATAAAAGCTGCAGACACCCAGGATGGACACACGTCAGGTCACTAATTCATGTGCCAGACATGGGTTGAGGTGCCTCAGTTGTCCTGGCCAACTTCAAACCAGCTGGCCACAGCACAGACAACGGGAGGTTATACAGAGCAGGGTCTGGCTTTCGCAGGCAGCATGGGAGCAATTTAAGGGTTGCACCTTTCACGTACATACAATGAAATGAGGACTGTCGTTACAGTCAAACAGCACACAGTGCAAAAATCCTGGGGAACAGGCAAGCAAAAGAGCATGCTGACCACATGTCCTTGCAGGGTCATGTCCTGGGAATTGTATTCCTCTGCTATCATGCTCAAGCATCAGATTTTTCCTGAAGATTTTGGCTGGGAGAATAAATAGTTAGAATAAAATCTCCCAGAGGTTTTTGAGGCTTCTGTTTGAATGAAAGAGCAAGAAACACACTCTGGAGGTTATGACTAGAATAAGCCCTTTCCAAAGCCACCTTCAGAGAGGGCAGGTTTAAGAGCCCGAAGAGCTGAGGGTATCCTTCTCACGGATCTGTCTTGCAATTTCTCTCTTTGCCAGCGTGAGGACTGATGCAGGACAACAGCGCTGAGGACAGTTTGCCAGTACTCTGCTTAACATGTGCAACCACAGCTGGGACATGTTGTTTCTTCCTAGAGGACGTAATGAGTCTGGATTTCCCCATATTGCCCTGAATTCCTTTTTCCTGTGCCAAAGAGCAGCTTTGGACTCAGTCTCAGACATCAGTGACTCCTAATGGCACCAGAAATTTCCAGTAGCTTAAGAACTGAAACAAAGCTTAAGCAGGGATTTACTCTGTTTCACCCTTGGACTAAAGACCATAAATGAGTTTTTCATGCATTAGAATACTCATTAGTCCACCCCAGGCAGAAGCCAAGATATGCTGTTGTGAAATCATGATGTAATAAAAGCTAATAAGGTCTCTGTAGAGTTTAACCCGATTTGCAATGAGCTAAGACTAAAAAAAAGGCAGGACCATTTTTCTTGTATAATTCCAGTTCAGTTCCCTCCCGAAGGACCGGTCTGGGTCTTGACCTCACCTCTCTCATTCCTCAAACTGAGTCTTCATCCAGAAACTGTGCTTTTGAGAGATTTGTTGCAGCTCGTAGCAGCTACCACGTTACAGCCCTGCTCCTGCTGGTGGGAGTTTTGCCACCAGGTCTGGTGAGCTCAGGTTTGAGTCCCCTCTGGATTATTCTATTGTTAAAATAATCTTTTCTTACAAGCTTGATTGTGGGGATGGATTTTAAATTGAGGTTACATAAACCAAATTTAATACTTAAGCAAAGATTAGCCAAGTTTTATTCCTCTTTTATGTTGTGGTTCATGGTCTGCATTAGAAAAGCAAACACGTTATGCTCATGATTTTGCTATCACAAAGGACCTAGCCCAACTCTGGATTAGAGCAAATTTGGAGCTAGGTCTGGACTGGGTGGCTTGGGCACATCTCCAGAACAAACTGCAAAGCTCTCTACCTCCAAACAGATGCATCAAGGTGGCCTGGAGACCTGCCTAGGGTCTCCTCCCTGGAGCATCAGTTCCCACACCACGCAACAGTCAGTCAGCAGACAGCGAGGAATACAAGCCCTGGACGTACGGTACACCCACTCCTTCGTTACCGACTCGTGCATGTCTTCCCCTAGCAAATATGCAGGTCAAGCCCTTTTCACCCTCCAAACTGAGATTCTCACCATAGGGTAAACTAATGAGAGCGGAGAATCCACCTTGATTTGCATGGGATTGGTACATCCTCGGGGGCTCTCGGGTCTCTCTCCACTGGCGCTGCCTGTCCATGCAAAGATGTCTGAGGGGCTGTGTTGGCCGGGGGTGATTGTCTTCATTTCCATCTCCAGTTCTGCTTCGAGCTCTGCCTCCTCCTTAGCCTCCTTGTTGCTCTCCTCCAAGTGCTTCATGAGCACGGCGATCACCACGTTCACCAGGACAAACTGGGCCGTCAGCACGAAGGAGACGAAGTAGATGGGTGAAATGACGGTGTTGTAACAGGTGGACTCCTGGTCACAGTCTCGCAGCGTGTCCTGGAAACAGGGGGGAAATGATGGAGGGATGTGAACAGGTTCCAGCATGGACCTCGGTCTGCCGTCTGGTCATCTGGCTGCAATGGGTTCTCCTTTCATGAAGAAAACTGAGAAGATTGGGCAAATTTCATGTCTAGAATGGCAAAATACTTGCCAGTAAAACCTTACGTTTCTGTGTGAGTCACCACAAGCAGGGTCAGAGGAAATTCTCCTTGGGGTGTGCAACAGCAGACATCGACACTCTGCTGCTCCTAAAGGAAAGGCTGTTTTACCAGGTTAGAGACCAAATCCACAGGAGTGTGGCAGATGGATCCAGGGCGAAGCAGGGTGCAGCTACAACCCATCAGCTACCCCACAGCAGCTGGGCTTGCAGACACTCTTTCCTCAAGTTCACACCCTGTCATTAAGATTTTGGCCGCCTAACACTCACCATGGGCTACAAATGGACAGAGAAGTGATTCCTTCGGACTAGCTAGCACCCTGTGTATTCATAGACCAGATTTCTTCACAACAGCGTGCCTTTATGGCTGTCCCCTAAGAGAGACTCTCTTTCAGAAACCTGGGTTTTCCCAGAAAAAAACCCACAAAGTAATACCAACAACAATAACAATAGTAACTGGAGACTTCTAAGGAAAAAATAAAACTAATGCGTGTTACTGAGCTGAACTCATGTTTTACTTGAGAGATGAGTCCCTTTATTTTTTCCCCTTCTTTTTAAGTCGCTCTCTTAGGTTAAAAAAAGGGAATATATGGAGTATGCCAGGAGCCTGCAACCACAGGCACTGCATTGTTGCGAGGAGGGAACAGAATTAGAGACTTTGCCCAGTGCACGAATGAAGAGACCAGCTCACTGCAGGATGTGAGCGTCCTGGCTGAGCATCGTTACCGGTCTGGAGCAGAGTGGATGGCTTCTAATTAAGCAATTATAGGCAATACTCATTTTCCGTGGGTCTCTTACCTTCATTATCCCGTTCCAGTTGTCTCCCGTGGATACTCGGAAGAGCGTCAGAAAGGCCATCCCAAAGTTTCTGAAGGTGGCGTGCCGTCCCAGCCCCTCGCAGGGGTGCGTGTCGTCGCACTCTGTGGGACCAAGCACAGCCGTGAGACCCCTGCTCGTGCACCGCTCCCACCCCTTCCACCGGCACGGGAAGACTCACCAAGGTCTCCAAACAGCTCCACTCCAAGAGCTGCAAATATGAAAAACAACAACATGAAGAGAAGACCCAGATTCCCCACCTGGAAAGAGAAAAAGAAATGGGGGAAAAAAACACAAAAAAAGAACATTCATTGATTTTTTTGTTCCAGACCTGTTTCTTGCTGTATTCTTTAATCCAAAACTTAAATTGCTTCAGGGAAAAAATGACCTCAATGTAAGGACTGTATCTCAGACTGTGCTTCGGAAGGGAAATGTGATTCTCTAATGACAGTAAAGATAAAATGATTAGCATTCCTCTGCAATAGGAAATTAGCTCTGGGCCAGAGGAGATCTGGTTTGATATGGCAGTGGGTTACCTGCGGCAGCGCTTGCATCACGGTGTCCAACAGGGCTCTCATCCCTACAGCCATCTTCAGCAACTTCAACACTGCGGAAAACACGTTCGTAATATGGTAACGGCAGCGTTAGCACGGAGGCACAAACTCAGTCCCTCTCCCAGGAGCCACAGATTATAGGCAGAGAAATGTGAAATCATGTCAAGTGTTCTCCATTAGCTGCTATAGTCCCTGGCCTTTTTACATCACTCCTGGTTGCTTGGATACTATTAAAATCCCGTGAATAGCAGCATCACCTATCCTGAGACTTAGAGAAAACGTTATCGTTCTGCCTGGCTTTTCCTTTCCCCACCTTATCCGTGTTGGACCCATCTCCCTCTTCCTCTGGTTATCGTCAGCAGTTACTTTCCTAGCCCTGGGGCTACTTTCCCACTTCCATAGGCTACCCGCTTTCATACATGATTCACTGAGGAGCTGATTTACACATCTCTTCCAGAAGGTTGCATTTCCAATTGGAAAACACATGTATTTTTAATTCTGAAAGGGATCCAATGCACGGGAAAAACACTTTTTTTTCCCCCTTGAGACACCGCACCATTTCATTTCTCCTCCAGTTTCTTCTTTGCTTAGATGAGAGCTGCAATTATAGCAATTATGCCTCAGAGCACAACGTTGCCCTTCAGGAGGGCCTGGGAGTACTTTATTAAGGGCCTGAGCACTCACATTTTACGTCTTCATCGTTTGGCCCTGAGACCTCCTTGTTCTGAAAAATCAGGCCCTGAAGAAGCTGGCTTTACAGTGTCATTACAAGTCTGAGGGGACAGATGGATGCAGAGTGATGAGGCATGCTTTGTCATCAAGTGGTGAGATGTAAAGTCCCATGGGAAATTAAATTTATTAGATGCTTGTCTTTTAAAGCCAGCGTCCTTGAGCTTGTGTTCTCTAATCCCTGTTAGAGATGACTTTGATTTGACTGGCATATTTTTTCCAGGTACATCTCTGGGAGTTACAAGCCACAGCTATTTCTCCTTTATTTCTAAGCTCTCAGCCTTCAAATCCTCTTAAGATAGAAACACATGGTCAGCTGGCTCAGCTTTTTGGCTCCTCGCAAGTATTTCCCCCCATTGTTCTTTTATTTGTTTACAGCCTGTTGATGCCAGAACTATGCACATCGTGATGGGGATGTGCCCCAGAACCGTTTCCCAACGCTTAACTCTCTCCTGGAGGGGACCCTGCACCTCAAACACAAGTTAATTCTGCTTTATTCGTCTCACCTCGAGCAATCCTGAGAACCCTCATGATTCGGATAATGGTGGGGTTAATTGGTAGCGAAGCATTCACCTCGATCTCTTCCAAAGTGATGCCCATGATAGACAGCAGCACGATTGCCAGATCTAATTGGTTCCATCTGGAGACAACACAAAATGAAGTTTAACATCTACTAAGAAGCTGGCAAGGGGAGGTAGCTTGTTTCACACGAATTCCAGTCATTTCAATGGTTCTAGCACTCAAATGAATCTGCAGCATTTTTCTGAGGGTATTATACAAAAGCAGTTGTGTTATGAAATCATTATAACTAATGCATCTCATTAGAAAATCAGCCAATTCCAAAGATATTCTTGACTGAGGAGAAACAGAAACAAAAGCTGGGCAGTTTTCTACCCAGAGGCTGCAGACCTCAGGGGAGACGCTGCAGTATCTGTCCGGCCACTTCTAGACACGACACTCGTGGACCTCAGCGTGAGATCTGCCCTAGAAAGAGCCGGACCCCGTGTCCAGTCCTTGCAACAAAAATCACACTGGGCAAAGTGAAGACCCCGTGGATTCATGCCAGGTTGGTGGGAGGCGTAATCCCAGCATGGACACCCGAAACGTGGGGCGAAGGGTAGGACCATCCCTCGGCTGCTGAAGGGCTCGTGTCGAGTCCTGCTCAGTGCCAGCGCTCTTGGTATTAACATTGAAGGAGGCAGAAATGGGTGGAGAAAGATTCACCAAGGACGTAAAATCTGTGTTTGTGAGGTAAGGGAGTGAAAATCTAGAAAAAGAAGCAATTTCATCTGCTGCTGAGCATCTGCTTATAAAGAGGTCCCTTTTCTCTTTCATTTCCACTCAGGACCAGATTCTCTCTTGGCATAAATTTTGTTGCTTCACCAGGTCCTCTTGATTATATGGACATGGAACTGGTGTGAGAAGAGAACCAGCTGCTCGGTGTGAGCCGCACTCCTATTTTGTCCACCCCCAAGGGCCAAAGCGGTGCAATCACACTCTTCGGCATGCACGATCCTTTCTCCAACTCACATCCCAAGCCTCCACCTACCCAGGTTTCAATCAGTCACACCAAAGAGCGTTCACACGTGTCAGAGTGACATCACCAGGAAGAGCATCGGGGTCCAGGACACTGAATTTGGGCAGCTGTCTCCAGAAACCTGCTGCTGCCCCCGCGGTCAAGGTGGAGCTTTTGTTACCTGTCTTGGAAGAAGCGACGAAACCCGAAGGCGATAAGCTTGAAAACAGACTCCAGGACAAAGATAACGGTGAAGATGTAATTGCAAATCTTCAGGGCTTCATCAAGAACCTGGGATGTGGACACAGGACCGGGGTTAGATGCTAGCTCTGCTGAGGGGCTTTGCTGCCCGCAAACCTGCCCTCCTCTTCTTTCACCAGTTACTCATTTCCAAACTACAGATAAAAGCCTCCAACCGTGGGCTCTCTCCGATGACAAATGTCCCAGGGAAAAGTCCCAGTACTTCAGGGAGTGCACAGACTGCATTTCTGCCTGGCCCCAACCCAGCTGATATAATTCCCAGGAGGGGCTGACGCAAACCCAAGGCACAACTCAAACCCCACGGCAGTAACACAGCCCCAGCTGGGATTGCTCGGGTGAGTGGTAAGAGCTGCTGCATTTGCAGGTGTCAGCAGCGCAAAAACCCTCGTGCTCTCGGCAGAAAGCTGAATTTCATCCCACTTGCTCGTTTGTGCACTGCTGCAAAAGCTGTGGGCTGGCCGGGACCATGCAAGCGCTGGCCAAATGGCTTCTTCGTGACAGCCTGTCATTTACTCCTCACCTTGAGCTTTTGGCAAGGAGCACGAGAGAGGGATGGCATGCCAGCAGGAACAAGTGCCTCGGGTCTTCCTCTGCTCACGCTTCCCTCTGCAGGTGTCACAGCCTGGCCATTAACTACAGGTGCCTCCTGGCTGTGACAACTCCTGCACTGTCAGGCATTAAGCCATGACAGAGATTATTTCATCCCAAAAGTCCTGCTTGTGAAGGACCGCTGTGGTAGCAGCATCCTGCATGGCCTCTTAAGTAATGTCCATCAAATGGGATGGTAATAACTGTGTCCAGAGCACTGTTAGGGAACGTGGGAGATGGCAACAGAGTGCTCTCAGACCAAAAATAAGACTTACTGATCCCCAAGAGGGAGAAATCATAGTAGAGGGAATTTAAGCCACGCACTCTGCCTTCACGGTACAGTTTAGCTTCAAGCATCCATGGATGAAAACCACCTCACCTGCCCAAGAAGTACAAGCCCAGCCACCAAAGGAAGCTGTGGCTCTGAACGAGCCTCCCTGTCATCCTGCAGGGGACCTGGGCTCTGCCAGCAAACAAGCATCAAACGAGCATATTTATTTGGCAAAAGCAGATTTTGCCCAGTAGCTCTTTACTTGAACCACCTCTATGCGCACGGCAGCCCCTCCTCTCCACGGGCAGCCACAGCATCTCCGGCTGGGATCTCATCCACAGGGCATCCCAGGGTATCCCACCACTGACCCCCTTCAGCACCAACATGCTGAGCAGTTGTTAGTTTGGATATAAAGCTCTCCGGTACGTTTAGCCTTTTAAATACCCGCAGGATCCCAGCCATCAGTCACCCAGACCAGAGTGATTTCGGGGCCCTGATTCAGCAGGGCTCTCAAGCACGTGCATGGCTCTAACGGTGCTGTCATCCCAGCACAGCCCAAGCTTGGAGTTATTACCCAGACGCTGCGTACCAGAGGCTTAAAGACAAAATGTTATTTTCCTAAAGAAAATTAAAACCAAAAGCCTGCCCAACATTTTTGTAATACAAGAGAAAATGTAGCTGCAAAACGACTGCGGCAAGACGCACACCCAAGGCAATTCCAATACAGGCTCCTTAGCCAACAACCTTTTTCATCACCAAATGACTGAATCATGCAATGAGCCTTCCAGGGTATTTAAAGGTGACCTGAACAGAAAAAATAAATTGGGCTTGTGCCCTTTCACTTTTTGGATTCTTTATGATAGGCTGGAGGATATTTTTCCCCTCGCTTGCATGTCTTGGTTGTTTGGGTTTTTTACATTAAGTATTCAAGTCCTGTCTAGTCTTAAAGAATATTTCCTCCTATTGTGTACTATATTTATTCATTCTGAAAGTGGCTAATAAAAATAAGTACAAGTTACATGGCAAAGGCAGCTATTTCCATTTCATTCTTATGCACAAAAGACTTGACATCCCAAGACAGGCTGTTTTTATTTTCAGAGTATGACAAAGACCCAGGAACTTAGCACACTAATATATTAAAATGTATTTTAAAGACCAGCATGGAATCCAGTGCCTGTGAAAACTGGGGATTTAGAAGAAACTTTGCAAAAAGAAACATTTCACAAATTCTACTATTCTTTTTCCTTTTTCTCCTTTTTTTGGTGGAAAACCTAAGTTAAATGGAAGATTTCAAAGACGATCTCGTCTAGCAAACCAAACCAACCTGCTCCCATCCTTGTTTTCAAAGCAGTCTGTTTCCACTTAACTAGAAGAGAGAGGTGCAACGGGATCCAGATACCAAAAGCCATGGTTTGAGCTGGAAGCCAGATGGAGGATGGGTACGCTCCACGGGGCAAAGGGCCAGGTCGGGCACGGTGAATGGGGGCCCCGAGGTCTAACAGCACAACTGGCCTTAACTCTGCCCATCAGCACATCCCACCACGGCTGAGCATGTCCCCCCACTGCTTTTTCCCCCTCTCTGTCCCAGTACCTTTGGCTGCTGGTAGTGCTCCATGGCCATGGTGATCACGTTGAGGCCGATCACTCCAGTGATGAACAAATCCAGGTAGTGGCTGGTGCACATCTGGTGGATCAGGAGGCGGAAGCGGGAGTAATCCGAATAGTAGGGCTTACACTGTGCTTCTGCAGCGGGGAGGAGGAGAGCGGAGAGGCACGTCAAGTCATTTCTCTGCGTCTTTCTGAAGTTGATGCACCCTCACTTTCCAACTCCAAAGAAGATAAATTCTAGACCGATTACAGCAACATGCTGTCTTTTTTTTCCTTCCCCTTTTTTCTTGCTGGCATGTTACCATTTTTAATACACAGCAGGGCTCCCGTCATCTTACATCCATTAAACATCTTCAGTGGGACATGCGCTATACTCAGCCTTATGGCATCAGGGATGAGGTGATCTGGGACTATTGTGCTGCTAAGGAATGTTTTCCCTGTAGGGAAATTTAAATTAAATTTAAATTAAAACAACAATTTTTGCTTCTGCTGATCTTAAAAGATCTTAAAAGTCCCCAAAGTATCCAAAAGTCCAATTAATGGTCAGATAGTGGGGACAGATTTTACTAACAATGGCTTAAAAATATTATGCTCTTTGCAGTAAACTGCAGAGAGAACAAAATTCAACACTTTGGCTGTCAGAGCCCTGAAAAATGGTCCATAAAAATACCAAGGAAAACTGATCAGTCAGCCTTAGCGATTAGAAAATAATGATCCTCCATTTAGACAAGATTATCAAAGTACAGATTTCACTGTTCAACTCATTCCCGTGTTCGGCTGCCTCAGGGATGACACATGCTCTTCAGACCCCGAATGTTCCTAGAGATAAACTCATTTACTCACCTAATCTCTAATGAGGAAATGCCAAGGCTGAGTATATAATTCAGTACAATTTTCAAGGAGGCATTATAATGCAGATTGAAGTGGAAAGGACTGTCTTGAATATGTCAGAGTATAATATTACTCTCATAATTAGATGATCAACTGGTTATGAAAATTATTGAGCTGTAAGAATTATATGGCTTGATATTTAGTGCTGCTGAGCAAATGTACAGTTTGATACATTACTCTAAGCAAAAAGTTGGGCAGAATGAAGCCACGAAGCACAGGTTTGGGGTGCCCTCAGGGAAAACTAATTTTAGAAGATTAAATTTTGCCTGGAAATAGAATTCACTTTGTCAATAGCCAATGATATTGCAATCAAACCCATAGATTTAATGTTTTCATGCGCTCCCTGTTTTGCAACAGGATCCTGAAAAATCAGAGAAGTTTTGTTTGTTCCATAGAGACAGACCTTTCCCTTACAGCCCAGGGACCAGAGAGACAAATCACTCAGCAGTTTTATTCTGTAGGGGTTTGGAATGCCCAAAATTCTGCTTCAGTGTCATCAAACGAAAGGCACTATTAATATTCACTTTCTGATCTGCAGTGTGCTTTAGGTGATCTGTACCTGAGTGCTAAAGCACGATATCGATGAAAAGGTCTATAAAATGAATTTTCATGCTGAAGCTATTGAGTGCTTACAAAAAAGCAGACTGGTAGCTGCTGACTCACTCATAAGACTTTGTCAGATATCTCAGAATCTGCATAAATCTCCATAAAGTCAAGATATCTCGATCATATTATGCTAAATTATGAGTAGCAAATTAACTAAAATGTTTGAATACAATTAGGTTAGGAATAGGACCTATTTTTATGAACCAACTTATCATCTCAGAAAGAAACACCATCGTAATTGGATCACTTACTTCTTCTACATTTATGTATAATTCACATTCAAAAAGAAAAACGTCAATGTTTCTGCCTTTTCTTGCAGTGGATTTACTTATGAATAATTACACTGGAATTCAAATTTTTCTTAGCTTTGATTGACAGGTAATTCCAAATCCTACAGAATAGCACCGACGCCGTTAGAACAGAGAGAGGATTTAGAGAGAGGTTGTAAAATGTCTCCCGTGCAGGGCTCCTGCACCTGGATTAGCCAGTGCATGGCTTTATAAGCAGGGTTGCTAATTGTTCGTGTGTCTGCCAAGGCTCTCCCCCTTCGCATCCCCCCTCTCCCAAATGCCAAAGCTCCTTTTCACCTTTCCCAGCACACGCCCCCAGGTTTCCACAGCCAAACGTCTCTGGATGCTGCTGTTGCAGATGCGCTTGCAGCCTTAGAAGATTACCATTAGTAAATATTTCATCCTTCCCCGTTAACTTTGTTAAGAGGGGATCTGTCAACCCTGTTCATGAATCATGCCACCACTCACCGCGCCGGCTGCCGCATGCTGGCCATGCATATTAGTGCAATACAGATACTACCGTGAGATGAACCACACGCGAGCTGGCATGCTGTCCGAGGACTATAGATAAATAGCTGCTGTGTCTAGGCGGGCAGGGAAACTTTCTGAACAGATAAACCATTTTCTTGCTATTGTATAAATACTATTTATTTAACCCGACCTGCGCAGTTCTGCAGAGAAGTCGGGTGTTGCTCACGTGTAATCACCCAAGTGCAAAGCCCGTGCCCCCTATCACACAGCATCCTTTCTAATTATTGCAGGAAAGATCTAAACAATACCAACATCTTGGGAAATACAGACATCTGTTAAACTCCAGGTGGTGAACTTCACAACTAACACAACACCACATTACTGTACTGTTACAATACACTGTGTCAAGAACAACAAGAGCTCTGGGTTAGTCTCGGTTATTACTGGAAAGGTTAACTTGGCTTCCCGGCACACATGGCGTTAAAGAAAAGAGGAGGAGAGCAAACGAACAAAAGAAGAATTGGCAGAATGAGAATGTGAGAAGATGGGGAAATAACAGCAAAAGCCCACTATGAGACATCAGGCTGGTAAACAGGGTGTAAATCAAGCTGCTTCACCGTGACTGGAGGCCAGGGGTAGGGGAGAGGGAGAAGTGGCTCAAATTTAGATATCGTTACACTGGAGAAAATCAGCTCAGACAGTGGATCCTGAGCAATCTCCTCCTCACCCAGGCAGGAAGGAGATTTTGCAGCTGGTTGAGAGCTGGTTTGGGAGAGTCCCACCTGCCCGCTCATCCTGGGCGATGGTGGTCTAAGGGGACCGTGCCGGCAAGGGGAGCGGGTGCCTGGCAGGGGGGGCACTCGGTTTAAATTTATCATTTTTCATGGGCTCTCAACTCAAGTTGTTTCCCAAGCAGACATTCTGTACTCCTCTTGGCATCATCCCGTGGGATTATAATTGATCCCCTTGACAAGGGCTGGGAGGCAGAGCACGGCAGCCCCAGCCTGTGTCCTGGGGTAGCCAAACTCATCGCCGTCCTCTCCTGCCCGTTTGGAAAGGCAGCGACCATTGCTGTTGCAGGAAGAACATTTCCCATTCCTAAGCCTGCTCCAACTTCTCCCTTCGGCTTCAGCGATCACAGCCCAGGTTTGGGGCATTAAGCCCCATGCCGCTGTTCGTCTGACAGCTCTAGGACATGACCCGTGAAATGGCACCAGCGACCAGCAAAGCAGCGCTGGAGGCACCCCCGTTTTTGCCGGGCAGTGCCACCGCCAGCTCCCAGAGGGTCCCGGGGCTCAGCCGGCCTCTGCCGGCACCGCGGGAGATGGGGCCGGGGCCGCTCTCTTCCCATTAACTGCATTTTCTTGGGGGGAGTCAGGCTGGGCATGTCTCCGGACAGCGGCTGCCTCCGAATATAGCCCTGTCTAGAGAGAAATTGCCACTTTCCCCGAGGTGGCTTTCGAGACGGAGGTGCGTGGGCACAGGAAATTGGAATTCACGAGAGTGGGACAATTCCATTACTGTCTCCAGCTTCTTCCTTCTCCTATAATAAGGGAATTAACTACTTTGCAGGTCTGAGTATATCTGGAGGACAGCGGCAAACCAGTGAGCCCGTGACGCAGCTGGATTTACAAACTGTATCAAGAATATTATTAGGTTAAAAAGTAGTTTGCACTGAAGGATCTTTTTTTAAACACAGCGTTTTACTTGGCTTTTATTGTACTGAATGGATTTATTAAAAAAAAAAAAAAAGCAAAATGGAAAATGATAAATTATTTCCACTGAGAAGATTCCGGTTGTGATAGAATGTAGACTCGGAAAAAAAAAAAAGGAAAAAATAAAATTATAATATCTCACTAAGCACCAGGCAGCAGCACACACACACGCACACACACTACTCCATCTTATCTTCAGAGGGAGAGGAAAGAAGCCCTCTGTAAGTGCAGAGATGTGTGGAAGCTTTGGGGTCACAATCCACATTTCTCATTGAACCACAGGAGGTTCGTCTACAGCACCCGGGACTGATTCCCTAATGTCCCCAACAGTCAGGTTCAGAAATAAAACCTTTCTATTCCCTCACGCCGGTGCCTGAAGAGCAGCATGGCACATTCACTACCACTGGATCCAAAGAAAAGACAACAAAAGGAAACACAAAGCACAGACCTGACAATTGCACATGTTTTAAAGGCAAACTCTAAGAGTCTTTCTGAGTCTGCGCGGGATAATGGAGGGGTTTGGAATAAGTTCGATGCCTTAAAAATAAAATAAAATAAAATAAGACAGCCTTGATGTAGCTCTGTAGGACCAGGAGAGGAGTCACAAACAAATAAAAAGAAGAAAAAATAAACAGACCCCCAAACCCAGTGACAACACCCCCCCTCGTGCTGCCCCTGTTTCGCAGGAGAGGACAGGAGGCCTACCAAGAAGAGCAAGAAGGAAGGCAAAGAAATAAAAATACCAGGAATGGCAATGGGAAGGAGATTCAGGATTTATTAAAGCATGTTGTGATAACTCCCAACAAGGTCTTAGAAATATAAGGTAGGAACCTCGATCTCCGTGAGTTATCCTCTGCAGTGAAAGCTGATAGCCCTCACCTTGCAATTTTTATTTAATCAAAACTCCCTGCAATATGTGAGAGGTGGATGGAGCCCTGCTCCCATCTCAAGCAGTGGGAGCTTGGTCACAGGTGAGAGTTTTAATGGCACAATTTTCCTAGCTTATTATTTTTGTCGAAAATTACAGCTGTATTTGTTTCTATGTTGGCGCCTCTTTAATTATTCAGGCTAATATTCTTAAGTTATGAATTAAACAAAATGCTTGCCAGATCAAAGCTTCTCCTAAAAATAAAAAGAGCAAGGGACAGATTTGCAGCCCTGAGCTGGTGAGGGGGGACGGGAAAGAGAGACGTGAGCGAGCCCTGGTCAGGACGGCCAGGTCAAACCCCCAGCCGTGTTCAGCCCAGCTGGTCCATCCCCACCAGGACCTGGAGAGGCTTTGTGGTGGCATCTTTATTGCTTTTAATTCACAAGATGCGCCATGGATCGAGCAACTCTCAATCAATATGAAGAATTTACAAGCTGGGCAGCACAACGGCTAAACCCCATGTCCACGCTGAGGGTTGGTGTGGGGTTGACCTCTCCGTTGAAGCACTGAGGCTCTGCACTATACTGAATTTTACCCTGCTGAAAAAACACTGTGCCTCCCTGAAGCACAGCGTTCGTGGAACAAAGAGCGAGGGCTGGAGATATAATGAAATAACCTCCCTAAGCGAGACTGCCTGCCTTCCAGAGACACTCTTGCAAATTATTCAGAGACTCCTAAGTTGGTGGTTGGAAAGCTAGAGTAAACAATAAAGGACCCATTTCACAGTCCAGTCATTATTCTCTAAAAAAAAATAAGAACAAAAACAAAAAAAGGAGGGAAAAAAAAAAAAGCCATGAAAAGTCTGACAGTGTCTTAATGAAAACCAGAAAAAAAGTAATACTGAAGAACATAACATGATCAAGGGGTAAATTAAGGGTTTGCAAGTGTCAGTCCTGAGCCAGGTCTGCAGACCTGCAGTTCAGAATGATATGCGTGTGCCATGAAGTAAGCAAACGAGCTTTGCACCACACACACGGTTTAGTGGGATGCCTCACAGCAGCGGTGGCCAGCCGTTAGTGACACAGCACTGCCATTCAAGTGGGACGAGACGTGCCGACTTCCCAGTACCTTGCACTGCACTGGCTGAGCTCTCCATTAATACATCATCCAGCATTAGATCTAAAAGAACGAAACGGCATTAATCATCCGGCAGGACACACGGCAAGACTTCCCTTCCCCGTCAGAGGTCCCTACGGCTCTCAGGCTCTCCAGTGCCTCTACCGGCAATGTTTCCTTGCGGGATCCTCTCCTTGTGCCTCATGGAGGCTGGATTCAGGTACGTGGGCTCATCGTGAAAAAGGAAGGGCTCTTGTGCTTCTCCCACGTACACAGGTGGAAGCCCAAGAGATCCCTGAGAACCCCCTCGCTTGACGACGATGAAGGAGAAGACACTTCTGAAGGATGGACTTTGTACATGTCCTGCTGAGCCAGCGCACCTTACAGCGATGACTCCTGCATCTGCCTACATCTCACCGAGCTGGGACCTCACATGCTTTTCTGGTTTTCAGATGTCCAATTGGGTAAATGCATTTGAAGAGTCTATGATCAAAAATGACCGTGCAACCAGTTAGATGTCTACGTCTGTCTATGTCTGACATCCATAGGTTGGTTTGGGCATCTGGGGACTCTCAGGAAGCCCAGCTGAAAGGAACCCCCAGGCAGTTACTGGCATAATCAAAGCCCTAGTCTTGGTATCATCTGCAAGTTCCCACCATGCAGAATGAAGCTAAGCAATGACATCTGTTGCCTCCGAGGGCAAAGCTGGACATGGTCAATTAAAACCAACGTTTCACTGAAAGCAAATTGGGAAAACTGTTCTGAAGCGATTTGGAGGGCTTCATACTTTGCTCTTGAAAGGTTATTATGGCGATTGAATACTCAGCAATATTTGATCTTCAGTAAAATAGCTGTTTATTGCCTCTTTAATTAGGCATTTCATAGGACTGAATGAATAACTGCATCTCCGAGGACGGTTTGTGATTCCTTCCCGCTGGGAAATTGCCCAGACTTACGTCTCTTCTTCACCTAGTTCCTCTAGCATTACAAATAAGGTCATTAATAATAACTAAACATCTATTTTTCTTCTACAGAAATGTCTGCTTTCCAAAACTGCAACTTTAAATAGGGATCTTTCTATCCAGCCTTTAAAAACATTTTCTAACTCATCAGCCTGAAACTGTGTTTGGGAACTTGGACTGACCGAAAAAGCTTTCTAGGCATTTCCTTGATGTGAAAAACAGAAAAAAAATATTCTTTCCACCTGTATCCCACTTAACTGAGAACAGTCTAACGTGTCCTCCACTGCTCTTGAGGGAAGCCTCCGTCTTTCCACTGACCACTGAGGAAGCCAGGCTCTCGGCATAAACCAAAGTTTGATGTCCAGAGGCTGGTGTGATACATCCTATTGGTTACAAAACCTGTGAAGCTCATGGGACTTAAAGATGTGACCCAAGGCAAGTGCTGGGTAAGTGCTGAACTGAGAGAGGCTGAGACACCGTTGTGGTACGTGGTTGCACGATTAAGCCTGTCACAGGTATTAAACACCTCTTAGACTATTAAAAATAATAAAACAGCCTTAATATTACCAGCTTTTGGAACAAGCGCCTGATCAGACAGCCTCTTAAACAGTACTGAAGTCTGTCAAAGATAGAGAAGGGACGTGAAAGGGGACACGGAGAGAGCAGCAGGCGACTGACCAGGGAGGGAAAGCGTGAGGCCATGGACACGAAGGGCAACGGAGAAAGTTCAGTCAGAAGAGAGAGCATGCGAGAAGAAGAAGAGTACCTCCGACCTGTGGCCTCTGGCTGACTTATTTCTTATTCAACCAAATTAAAAGAAAAAAAGACTAAAAGACAATGTCAGGTTGGAGACTTGGCAGAGCAGAGGTCTAGCCTGCTTTCACCTGTAAAGCCTTCTCTAGGCAGGGCTGCAAGCTTGCACGTCCAGTTTGGAGTTTGGTTCGATTTGCATCAGTGCTACTTTGTCTAGTTAGTTACTCTCCTCAACTGCTTTTTTTTTCTAATCTGTATTTCTCAAGCAAATGCATTGATATGTTTCTCTAAGGAGTTTTTAAGCATTACTAGAATGAGATGGCTCCATTATTTTATTACACTCTTGAATAGCAGTGGTGCTACTGTGCCAATAAATAAACCTGCTTGATAAATGGGACAGGTAACATCACTGTGGCATTACAAGGCTGTAATAAACCAAATAGTGAATCCAGTTATCAGCAACAGTGCTCATGACTCAGAAGATTTATGGTGCCATCCGGCACTGCTGATCTTTGCAGTTGTCACTATTTGTGTAACACTGAGCTCTGCTATCCAAGAAGCTCCAGGTCTGATTATTCTTATATTTTAATTCAAATAACCTCCAATGGAAAAGTCATTGCAAATCATGCAGCCATTAAAAAGGCTTCCATGGCTCCTTGCTCAGCCTAAAACGACACTATTTCCTTCATGCAAATTTTATAGCTAGACATGCTTTTGGGAGAAGAAGGATCACCAGACATGAGGCAGGGAGGGGAGGGAGGAGGGGATCGTGTGGAAGGTCAAGCAGGACTCGGAAAGATGTGGAAAGACTACCGACCAGCCATCTGTTTCTCCTTACTCCTTCTCTTTTTCTCCAGCCGGCGAAGCCTCTTCTCCTCCCGCCTCTTGGCTTCTTCCTCCTCCTGGTGCTGCCGACACTTGTGGAAATTCTCCACCACCACCCCCACAAACATGTTGAGGACGAAGAAGGCCACAATCAGCAAGAAGGAGATGAAGTAGAGGAGCATCCACGGGTTGTAGTTCATGACTGGCTGCAAAGTGGAGGAAGGCAAATGTGAACTGAACCTCAAAAAAAAAAAAAGGGGGGGGGAGCAAATTGATACAGCTGCCCCATCCACAAAACCCTTGGGTGCCCCTTTGAGGCAGCTCAGTGTGCTCTGCTCTTCCTGAAAATCAGAGCCCTCTGAGACATTTTAACTGAATGCGCCCAAAACACAAAGCGCGTTGAGGACAGAACCACCACCTCTGTTCTGCCAACAACAGGACAGTAGCATCCATCGCAGCTATTGTAAATCCCTCACTGAAAAACTGTACCTACACAAAGCACTTCTTTTCTCCTGACATGTCCAAATTGCTTAAAAAGTCAAACCATTGACTTTGGTGCGGTTCTCCTAACACTAGTTACACCAGTCGTATTGCAAAATCTGTAGGAAAAGGGCTAGGTCCAAATCCAGACTTTCCACTTGACTCCTTGTCACACCCCAGGACTTGGGTTAAACGGCTCCCTCGATCCCAACCCCATAGCCCCATTTGACTGTGGAAGCCAACAGTATTTTGCAAAACAAGAGCCAAAACATGCGACCTTTGACAACTCATTTCTTACAGCTCTGCTAGAGCACGTACCTGCTGGTCAACTCCCACAGCATCTAACCCATCGTACATGATATCCACCCACCCGTCCTTGGAGGCCAGAACAAAGAGAGACATCAGAGCCTAGAAATACATGGAAAAAAAGTTAGACGTAGTTGCACTAAAGCTCTTCTACCTGTAACATTTTACTCCTCTTTGCCCTTTCCTGTCTGGGGATTATCATTACTTGTCTGATAATGGGACACTTTGATGCCCAAGGTTTCTCCTGGCAGCAAAAACCTATCAATGTCAGCGCCCGGTTCAGCAATGAGCGCTAATTTGGAAACCACAAAGCTGAAGACAAAAGCAGCTTCATTTCCACCCTCCAGGTCTCTACTGCTCCCGACTAATTAGTCCTTACCATGCTGCTAAAATAAGGCTGTGTTGCAGAGATGGTTGAAAGTGTCCGGCTCTATTAGACAAGCCCTTCTGCAAGATATATTTGGTTTGTTATGTAGCAGTGAAGCAATTAAGTACTCCACGAAGCCACAAGTGCTTGTTCTGTTCTGAAAAGAAGTGTATGCCTGCTTGGAAACACTGCCTTTGGGATTTACAGAGACAGAATGCTGTGTATGTGAACTGAATATTTACTGCGACTGCTAGTGCCCTGTAAGAAAATCCCATGGGATAATAATGCACAGGTTTTAAGTCAAGGAAGTAAAGGAGCAAAGAAGCAGATTACCATTCCATTAATACCTGGCCGAGATTATCAAAATTATACTTGTGCCGGACCCATTTGTAGCTTGCTTCTGTACAATCCGATTTATTTGTGATGTTTCTGGTGTCCTCCCCCTGGCAGACAAAAAACTTGCCTTTGAAAAGCTGCAAAACATGCAAAGAAGAGAGGAAAGGTAAGGGTTCGGTCCATAGGATTTCTCTGCAGATGATGGGCATTTCTCCTGGGGTATCCTGCACAGCCCACGCCGACCAGAGAAGTTAAGGGAAACGGCCTCATTCGTGCTGGTTATTAAGTGCGAGCAGTCTGTATAATATGCACCTAATGAGCAAATGCATGATTTCACATCGTTTAGGACACCCACCTCGTGCATTAGGTTGTCTGGTTCAGTGATCTGAGACTGGCCTAAAGGCCTTTGCTTCTGGGTCACCAGCTCAAGTGTGGCCCTGGCGAATAGCCCAGACCAGCTAATGGCTTCTTGCCACACGTGGGATCACTCTGGCGACTCCAGCCCAGTTAACGATGCTGGTTTCAAGAGTCACCGACAAATTAAATGTAACAGGGGCCCTCTGTCAGCAGAGAAAAGGTGGCACTAAAGAGGCACAGCGACGGACTAAGCTCCGCTCTTAGAGGTCACAAGGGGACACGTCAGAGAGGAGCCGAGCTGCTGCGAGTGACGTTGGGCTCTCGCTGAATCAAGACTGCTGTCAGTCCAGCTCCGGTCTCTGATCCTGAATGCTGTTCTCCAGATGTCATTAGGCTCTGCAGTCCATGCAGGGGTCTCTGAAATTATTCCTTGTGCAGAGCTTAAGGAGTCAAGCCTGACTGGTGCTGGGTACCTGATCCCGAGCTTATTTCCTTTGGTGTAAGCCAGGAGAGACGCAACTCCTGGGGAGTCAGCTCCTGATTTACACCTGCACGAGGAACATGAGCCTCCATGTGTTTAATTCTAGACCTGGTGCTTCCTGCACACAGAACAGAGAGTGGCAGGGGATGATTACTGCTTCAGACAGGGTGATTGATGCTAGCAGGATGGATGGTATCAAAGCCTGGGAGACATCCAACAAATCTGGTTTTATTTGCTGGCAGAAGCTATTGAAATTACTGTTTTGGGGGGAAATGGCAGCCTGCTCTCTAGGCTCCTTAAAACACCACCTGGGTATACAGAGAAAAGACGCTGACGGGTTTTGATCTGTTGTTCTAGACAAGTATCAGTAGAAATAATAGTGAACAAGATAAACCCACACATTGCTCCATGCATTTCCTTCAGAAATCAACAGCAGAAGGATGTTCTCTAGGCATGCAAAATTAATCACCACTCAATACGGTCATAAAACTTCTGGATGCAAGAAGAGAAGTATTCCCTGATCTTTCCATGGAGAAACACTACCCGTGGGTAAGGCAGACTGGGGAGATACAGTCTTCACAGAGAAAAGTTTTAATTAAGCAGGAAGGTAAACAACTCTTTTAAATATATTGTCTATAAATATAACTTCTCCAGGAGCTGGACTGTAATGCCACTCAGATGGGAGCAGTAACACAGCTACTAATGGGGTTTGGAAATACAAAGCCCCATTTGCAAAAATGCTGATCCCTGCCAGTGCTTCAGCTTTTAGCACTTCCGAAAGTGAAAGACTCAGTGATTCCTACTGTACTTGTTTTATCAATCTATTTCTTGTGTCTTATTAATGACTATTCACGTGTGGACAAGCTCTACAATAAAAACAGTCTCGCCAATAGGAGACACTGTTAGAAACCTGGACGTCTGGATTTTAATAGCATTAAAAACCTCTAGTTTGATCCCCAGTTTATACTTACATGGGAAAACCAACTAACTTTGAGAGACTATCTTTTTATAGAAATTAGCTATGGCCCTCATCTTACACCTGATTAGACATAAATATTAACTGAGAATTTTGCATCCTGAATACAGGATCAGTCTTGCTTGTATCTACCACTTAAGCACATCAATAGTCATGACAATTTAACGTAAGACTGCAAGTCACTAGGGAAAGCCATCACAACTGGCAGGGAGGAAATTCAAAGAGCATACTGCGAGTTTTGTTGTTTGGCATAAATTTCCCTGTGTCTGAGTTTTATATTGTTTTATGGGATATGCTTAGTTTTATGAATCTGTTTAGTATAATGGATGGATGTTGTTGTACTGTAATGCTAAGCCAACCTAGCTGCTGAGATGGTTATGGATGGCATGATTTTCTTCTCTGTTTATTTTCAATGCTGTATTTATTATTTAAAGAGTACATTAGTATAAAATATTGTATAAGACACCTTTCCAAAACAAAGCCAAACAGAGCTGCTTTCCAAAGCTGGCTGTGACAGATCAGATAAACTTCAGAAAGAAATAAGTGTTACGTCAGAATATTTATATGAAACAATCTCTTCTTCTCAGGTAACGAGAAACCAATTGCATTGGAAACTCTGCCACTTTTCCCCCAGGTTTCTGCACTTCTGGGACTGAGGATATTGCCAGCAGAGCTGGCAGGAAGCAGACTCAGAAATCTCTATTTCTGCAAGCTTTCAGTTACACAAACTGTCAGAATCTGAATGAATCTCCAGGTCAAGGTCTCTCTGGAGTTTACAAACCAACAATTTCAGCTTTGAGAGTTTCTATTTCCCCATTGGTTTATACCTAGAAGAAAGGTGGAGGGGAGATGTCCCCATGTTATCTCCCAGATGGAATGGGAATGGGATTTGACAGTTTCCCTGAGCAGAGTTTTTCTGGTGGTACATGTCATGCCTCAGGCCTGACCCTTCTGTGGTGTGGCCAGGGGAAGAAAGCGGAGAAATAGCTTGATTCATGTCCCGCTGCAGGCAAAGCAGAAGTCCTTGTGGTGGGGAAAGGATGAAGAAAGCCCATTCTGTGCCTTTGAGGGGGTCATCATGTTGGCTTTTGTATCACTGCACGCAACAGGGAAGCTTCGAGAAAGTTCAACGCATCAAGTGACACATAGCCAAGACTGGGCAGTCAGGAATAAATGTGTCTTGAGAGCACTAGAAAGGCCACGCTGTGCTGCTGGGGTGGGGACCGAGTGCCGCATAAGCCCTTGGGTCCGAGTCATGTCAGGCTGTTAACTATGGCAAAGTTATGGATTCAAAACCAACACACGTTTCCAGAGCTGGGCAGAAAACCTCGATGGAACCAGAGAGAGGCAAAACCAACCCCGCTAACTGACCCTAACTATTGCTCCTTCAGCTATGGCTAGGGATGCGTGTAGCTGGGCCACTGTTGTTAGGTTGTAATTGTTAATGAGTTTTTAATGGCTGACCAATAATGGGAAATCTGCTTCCTCCTCGCTAGGACCACTCCTCAAGAAGGCCAAACAGCCCATTGGTTCGGTTTCAGAAAGGCTTATAGTGTGCCCATTGGTACAGATACGCAGATGTGGGGCCATCTGGGGCTCGTTACGCTTTTGGGTTAGCTGCTGAGGCTTACAGGGGACTCACCTGAACTCCCAGGATCCCAAAGATTATGAAAAAGGCACAGCAGATGACCACGATGTTCCCAATGGGCTTCAGGGATGACATGAGAGTCTCCACCACCAGCTTCAGTCCTTGGGCTCGACTAATGACTCTGTGGGGGCAAGTAAGCACAAAAGCTGTGTTAGTCCTGTTCTTGCCCAGTTCTGCCTCCTATCAAGATAGAAGATGCGGAGAAAACAGCATTGGGGAAATTTTTAGAATGGCAAAGAAGTAAAAAATCACGATGGAAGAAGCAGTTATGGAAGATTGACCTGTGAGATTATGGATGTGTGTGAGGGAAAGGGGTCTCTGCCTACACATACAGCTGTGCATAAAAGAAGAGGAGGAAGAGACCACATATGAGGAGCCAGGCCAGAAAAGTCACTGGAGAAGGACCTAGGAAAGGAAGGTAGATAGGCTAGGCCCATATTTTTCAAACTTGGAATGATGGTTTTAATCTAACTCACTACCTATTCTTGATTCGTTTGCTGATCAGCATCTTCTAGTTACCATTCACTATAATATATTCAAGCCTTGGCATTTTCCTTTTCCTATCATTCGGTTCAAAGAGCTCTCTAGGTTTCCAGCCTTGATCGCACCTTCCCTGGGATCCAGCCTCGTGGTTTGGGCCATCCACAGACACACACCTTTCTGCCTGCAGCCTGTCCAGGACTGCAAAGAGAGGGCCTCCCAGTGTCCATTCCTGCATAGATTTGGGCAAGGTTCTTGATGTCCCTGTCTCAGTCTGTGAAATGGAGCAGCCACTCTTACACAGCTGCCTGCACATCTGTAGTCATTATAGAATCGTAGAGCGGTTTGGGTTGGAAGGGACCTCTAAAGGTCATCTAGTCCAGCCCCCCTGCCCTGGGCAGGGACATCTTCAACTAGGTCAGGTTGCTCAGAGCCCCGTCCAGCCTGACCTTGAATGTTTCCAGGGATGGGGCATCCACCACCTCTCTGGGCAACCTGGGCCAGTGCTTCACCACCCTCAGTGTAAAAAAAAGAAAAAAATCTGTACGTGTCCTTGTAGTGCTGCTGTGTACAGAGACCTGAGCTACCCCTCAGGACCATCACAGTCTCTGCTTTATACCCACTGTACAACCTCAGCTACTGAACCAGTGGTGTCCTCCAGGTGAAACTTCACCAGCAGGACCACAGGCATCTAACCTTGTTTCTGTAGCTCCTCTCCATCTGGTACCACACAGAATTTCATAACAGAGGATTAGATCATATTGGAAGGTTGGGGAAGAATAACGTGGACTTCATGAGTGAAGCAAGTAAAAAAAAAAAAAAGGGAAAACTGTACTATACTCTCAAGGACAACACTACAAAGAAAGGACAAGGCTTGTGTGATTTAGAGAAGCCATCTCACTCTGCTGGGCAAGATGAACGAGGTATTCAGGCTCACAGAGCTGCAGGTGGAGAGCTGGGGGACCGAGAAAGGCATCCGAAGAGGCTGCATGTCTCCCTCCTCTTGATGCCAACTGGAATTAAGCATTTCACTAGCGCTGTAAATCAATTTGTACCGATGCCATAGAAACTGTGCTTTCCTACGGCAGAAATAGCTGTCTGCTGTGTAAGTCGGAGGGAGCGAAGCGCCTGTGTGCTTCTGGGTACTGGCTGGGGACTCCTTTGAACACTTGGCACTCAAAACTGCCACAAACTTCCCCACCTTCTTCTTTCTGCCTGGTTCTCTCTTTTGCCATGGGAGTGCTCTCACCACCTCTCCCGTTCTGCCCCAAGTCTGGCTGCACCGCTTGAAGCACAGTTGGAGTTTTGTCGCCTGGAGAGGATCCAAGTTCTCCTCCTCTCTCCCCCTCCCGGGCTATGGTGCTCCCAGCAGAGGTCCCCACGGACACATCCACATGCCCGACATGCGTGGCCCTAGCTGGGACCCCAGCCAAGCCTGCACCAACCCTCTCCTGCCCCAGAGCCGACAGGTTTAGCAAACTGCAGAGATCAGTGCACAGGCACCAGGTCTTTCAAAAACCGTTGGCTTTAAACAGTATCTTGAAAAGCTAAAAACTATTTCTCTTTTTTCTGGTTAAATATTTACTCGAAATGTCAAGGGTAATTCATCAATTATCGGTTTAAAAAAGAAACAGATAGTGGTATTTTTATCCGCTCCCTTACCAGTGAAACACAAAAGGCAGATGCACACCTCACGCTGGGTGTCTCTTCCAGGTAGCTGCTGTGGCTCCCTATTTCGGACATCTCGGCTTTCCTGATGCTCAGATCTGGGTTATTTTAGGGAACAAGCCTGGGGGTGAGACGGCTCAGGGAGCAGAAGGTTACTCAAGACTGAGATGCCCCAGGGGATGGTGTGGACCCCATGCAACCGTGGCAGTGTGGAGACATGGGCTGCCAAAACTGCCCATGTGAATTAGCCCAGGCTGAGGTCCTCACTGGGTCAGCTACGCTGCTGCTGCCACTTTGTACCTGCACCGATGCTGAAAGCCGAGCCGAGGCCAGCTAGCAGAGGAGGCTGGACAGCAGGTTAGCGTGCCCGACTCAGTGAGCTGGATACTCCAGCCTAACAGGCCGTGTACGCAGGGCAAGGGCTCTTCCCACTCCGCGTGCACAAAGCAAGCATTGGGCTGGCCAGTCTAGCGCTGAATTGCTCTTCTGGATCCTCGGATGGCCTAAAGACCTCACCATCCCTCACCTATTATCCTCACACAGTCCTGGGTGAACTACAATGACTGCCAAACTCCAGATGGGAAACTGAGGCATGGGAGGACCACAAGCCATGTTCCTAGAGGTATGCAGGCACCTCATTTCCAATGATTTTGATGGAAATTAGGTACTTTGGTGCCTTTAGGGATCTTGACTTAGGTATTCTGCCCACTGTCACACAGGATGGAACCGAAGTCAGGTCTTCTAAATTGAAGGCCTGTGATCTAAACTACTGGAGCATCCTTAAATTTTGGGGAACAAGGAAGAAATTTAGTCTCCAGAGTCTAAAGTCAATAATTTTCTCCAACACTTATTAAGAAAGCCTATTCCAGAAATAATAAAATGATTTCCCTTGTGAGATACTATTTGGTATCCAGCAGAGAGAGAAAATAGGAGGTTACTCGTCTGACTTCACAAAGTCATGTGTGTTGAGAAAAAAAGGACTGAGAAACTGCAGCATTTGGCTGCTTTCAGGTTTTCATCAACCAGGGAATTCCTCAAATGAGAGTGCATGAGGGTAAAAGCTGCCACCAGTTTAGCTTCAGGCCAGTGCTGTTTCCAGCCCTACAGGGAGAGAAGACTTTGAAAAGATTTTGAAAAATAATAGTTCTTACTAATGAAAACCTTGAGACCTTGAAGCTGCCTCAAACTAAGGGCCTGATCCAATGTCGAGGCAAGTCTCTGCAAAGACTCCTGCCGCTGTCCTGAGAGTCTGATAACTCCCTAAGAAGTGCCAATGAAATCCTCAGCATTTCCAGATTATTAGTGTCAGCTCCAATATGTCAACGTACAGCACCCCACGCCTCATCAATACTGCCCAAGGTCCTGCTGACATCAGGTTGTAAACTCATATTATCTGACCCACCGCTCCTGCAATTTATCGCTGAAGGATGCAGCTGATTTGGAGCCCTCCAGGCGTGCCAGAGCCGTAGACTCGCCGAGGTTGCACTCAGGACAATTCCAGTCTGCATTAGGCATATGACAAATGGGGAAATTGAAATGAGACTGTTTTTTTTTTTTCTTCCAGTGTGAAGAAATGTTAATCCCTCAAGTTCCTCCTGGTTCTGCTGGTCTCAGCATTCCCAATGCTGTTAAACCCCTGGCGTGAGACGCTCCAAACCTACTGCCAGCCTCACTCCAGCTGGAGCACATTTACTAACATTAAGCCTGCTAGCCTGATCAGAGCTCTCGGAAGAAGTAGCACTTAGATGAAGTAGCAGAACAATATTAATGAACACCTTCCTCCACAGATTAAAAAAAAACTAGCAAAGGTGTTAATATGATAGACAGAAGAGAGTCTATGAAATGACTATTTCATACTGACATGGTATGAAAAGTGAATAATTTATCCATCTGCTTTGGAAGTCAAAGCCCAGGCTCTGTAGAGAGTTAAACATCACTGAAGTCCATCCACATTAATTCTGAATACATTTTCAATTTTGATTTCTCTTGTATCTTAAGCTACAACACTTGATCCCAACAACAGCAGGTTGAACGCATTAGGAAGGAATGTTATTGTATAAGCAATCCCTCTACTGGCTGAAACATCAGAGGGTCATGGAAACATCTTTAAATGTCACTCCTTTGTGAATATATTTCTGGAATTCTGGTCATAAAGCTGGGCTCGAATCCTCATGGATTCAATTTGGAGGCTGATAATCAATCATGCAATCAAAAGCCCGTGATTGGCACACAGGCCAGTGTTTTTTTAATGCCTGTGCAAAAGGCACAAGCATGCGTGGTTTTGTGTGCTGTGTGAAGCAACAGGGTGTTTTCACAGGAGAAAATGAGAGACAGAATGAGAACCCTTTCAGACCATCAACCAGGAAAGCCAACACAGAGACGATGAGGGCTGTCCCTGCCCTCGAGTTGAGTGTGACCCGCGCAGCCATGGCTTGGCTTCTCACTGAGGGTGTCCTCCCTGCAGCCCTGTCCCTGAGTGCCCATGGAAAGGGAGGACAGAAGGAGCCGGGTTAGCTCCTCTGCAGTGGGGACGGAGCATTCACTTTGGTCTCTGCCCTACGCCTTCCTGGAAAGGAAAAACATTGGCTTGGTCTCCACAGGGGACTTCACCGGGACACGGGGACTGGAGCCACGGTGTGCAAAGACCTCAGGTTGCCTGTCCCGGCTGTCATCCCATGTTGATCCAGCTGAACATCCTGGGCAGATCACCGAGCCACGCGGCGCAGCCCGCGGCAAAGGCAGAGTGGGCAGAGGCGTGCTCAGGGCAGCCCAGATGTGCATCGCAGAGGCAGATAGGTTTCCACATGTGGAGATTTATGACTTACTGAAAAGCCCCCAGTTTGATGGCTGCTTTTTCATTTCCTACAAATCTAATTACAGGGGAATAGAACTGATTGTGAACACATTTAGGGAATGGGCTTGTCGCTGTCTTTTTACATTTCCTTTGTAGTAGAAAGCAGTATGTTGGCTGAAAACATTCATACACTCTCTTGAGAAAACATATCAAATGCCAACAGGAATGGAATAGCAATGGAAGAGCCTAATCCTGCACATGCTCCAGATGGCAGGTCTTCCTCCAGCCTGCAGTTACTCAGTGGATTGTTCCCCATAACCGCAGACTACTCATGCACATAGGTGACTGCAAAGAAAGGCTCTAGTAAACGAAGACCCAGGTCTTGGCCGGGCAGACCTACAGATCTACAAAGAAGCATCCAGGGCTTTTACTAGGTCAGACAAGTGACTCTAGCAGGGCTCAGCACAACCCAAGCCTCTTCCTCTAGATCTGATTTAACCACACCGCCTCAAAAAAGAAACTTGCATTCCACAGTTCAGAGATGGGAAATCGATCCTTCTTTTACCCAGAGCTATCCAGATTATTTTGTAGATTTTCTTAACATGGATCAAAAATCAGCCAAAACAGAAGAGCAGAGCAGATCTACGGAACCAGCAACCTGGCAGAAACTGCCCCCAGAAATTACAGTTGACACAGAGATGCCGGGGGACACACGAAGAGAAAAAAGCCTGAATTGGAGTCACGTAGGAAGACGGTCTAGTCATATGGTCAGGGAGCCGGACCACACCAATAGCGCTATCTGTCCAGATAAAAATTATTAAAGCAGCTCACGTCCTAAAACTCACCAGGCACAACATACACATAGCCCAATGTAACAGAATGTCTTTCATAGGTGTTGAGAGTATTTGAAAGATATATGTATAGGCACGGCCATTGTTATTTAGACTTATTATTCACACAGGGGTAGTAAAACAACATCTCTGTCAGAAGCAGGGTCCTGTTTTTCTGTCCTGAAAGAGAAAATCCTGACTCAAAGCGAACCTTTTATGAAGGAAGCAGCAGTAAGATATGACAGGCACACAAAGACGCTTTGAGCAGGAAGGTTTATTAGCTGCTGCATAACAAGAGCAGCAACAATGGTATTAAAGAGGGACTGCATTTAGCATGGAGAGAAACCTTCATGCCTTGGGGTACAGGACAAAACAGATGCCTGTTTGGAAGAGGCTGGTCCTTGGGCAGGTTCTTGTCAGAGGGGTGCCTGCCCCTGGAGCATGGGATACCGCCTGCTGTCAGAGATGGGGGACCAAGTTTGCAGGACAATTGCTTTCATCTTGTCTGGGCAATTTTCAAAATAAATGTCTCTGTAAAATTAATGGGGAACTGAGGGAAAAAAAGCTTCTTTGCATTCTAGGTTAAGCAACGGTTTAGTCTTCGCTTCCTTAAAAATGATCTGCCACCTGCTACTAATTTCCTTCTCTGTTACAAAAGCCATTGACTGCCTGAAGGAAAGGGGGAGAAGAAGCTGTTAAGCTGCACTTTACACAGAGCAAATGAGAACACAAATAGCAGGGGATGTGTGTTTTAATGAGCAAAAGAGGCATTGATCAGTTTACTACTGCACTTGGGGCTGGTCCCAAAACACAGCGAGCGCCCAGAGCTCCTTGCAGCTCTGCAGGACCTGTGGACGCTCATTGTCTGCAGAGCAGCAGCAGGCTGGGCACAACGCTGGTGACAGACGCCGTGCCCTTGTCTCACCCGCCCCTTCCCTTGCACGAATGCTGCCGCCTGTGGGAGAGGCTCAGCTCCTCCTTTGGCACACACACCCTACATTCTTTTAGGTCTTCCTCATCCTCTGCTTACCTTAAGGGCCGCAGTGTCCTCAGCAGTCTCAAAACGCGTAGCATCCCCAGGATTTTCGTGCCGCTGTCTGACACCATCGAGACCAGGATGTCAATGATGGAGATGAGAACCAGCACCCCATCCAGCACGTTCCAGCTGCTTTTCAAGTAGGCTTTCTCCCCAAAACACAAGCCTAGTGCCACCACCTGCCCAGACACCAAGTTGCAACAAATTATGACTATCGCATCCAATATGTTTCTTCCAGTTAGCAACCTGCTGAGAACGCATTATTTACAGATACAAGTCTGTGAGTCCATTTGCTTCCCAGTATAGAAGCCTAATTAGACAAATCAGCAAAGTGTTATATTGCAAGAATTGTAAAAATACCTCTGCAGAAACATCCCAGATTGTCCCTTACAGCTGATATATTTTTAATGCAGCTAAACCTAGCTGCACAAAACTGTTCCTAACATGTTTAACTCTGGCATAAAAAGTTTGATCGTATTTTATTCCTACAGACTGCTGGAGTAAAGGTTCAGAGTGGCTGACCCAAAGCAATCATTTACAAGCTTTGCAAATAAAGAAACTAGAGAAACTTTCCAAAGAAAGAGCAATTATTCTGAGAGATGATTATGAATTACACAAGGGAGATTTACAGCAATGGGTTTCTGAGCCTCCTGCCTCAAATCCAGCAAAATGTTTCAATGTGCTTAAGTCCCTCCCTCCTCTGGAAAGCACATAGCTGCTTAGGTTGTTGAGGACGACTGGTTGTTGAAGACAATGGGACTTACATGCATGGTTGAAGTTAAGCACGTGTTCAAGAGCTTTGCTGAATAGGGAAGGATTGCTGAATTGAAGCATCCCATTGCTCATATAACGGTGTAAATCAAGAGCAACTTCAGTGAAATTGTTCTGATGTAAAATGTGCTCAGAATAAGGCGTGTGGTGGGTATTTGAATATGATTTGGAAGAGTCAAAATATACACCTCGCTCATAGCTGGTATACCTAGGGGTTTTGCAAGTTCACCGTAATAAAATATCACTAATATAATATAATACAGGCACACTTATCCTCCAGCTACGTTTACCTTAACTGTCATCTCAGTCAGGAAGATAACTGTAAAGATGTAGTTGGAGAACGTTAGGAAAATCCGTTCCTATAAAAAAGAAAATGAGAGACAATGTTTTATAGCCTGCTCTCCACAGCTGTACAAATCCCTGTGCATATTTGGGCGATTGCTAACTGTTCTCCAGCTTCTGTGCTGAGACAAGTCTCGGACTGTTTGCTCGCAAAGAGGGGAAAATCCAAATATTTAGACAATAACACTCCGCGCGGTTCAGCACTGCCAGTGCCCGGCTCTGTGTCAGCACCATGGACAGGGGCAGCCGCCGGCACCAGGCCCCAAA